TCTCTAAAGCAGCTATGAATGATCATCATTCAGGCTTGTGGTAAGTTTTTTTTTTTTTTTTTACTTTTTGTTTTACTCTGAACTAATTTTCTTGGTATTTATTAAAGGCTTTGTTGTTGTTTTTTCACTGTTTCCACATGCGATTGTCTCTGATTGATTTGTCTTCTCCTTTTACTTGTCAGCATGTATTTTGCTTGTTCGGCCACTTTGGTTGGATCAGCCCATTCTTCCATATTATTTAATTTGGGGAAGGTATGAATCTCTAACAGCAGTCATAGGTGAGAGGCAGGACACACATAGAACAAGTAAGGAGTTCATTACATTGCAACACAAAGATAAAGAAAAGAAAAACCATCTAAATATAAAATTATATCCAGGAAAACCAGTTCAAACTAACACAGATGTCTTTGAACTGAGAGGATACTGGAGAAAACCCATGAATGGAAGAGAAGAATATCCAAACATTATTTATGCAGATTATATTCAGTTGAAAATCTCATTTTTAGTTGTTGTGATTCTATTTAGAATATTTCAAAACTGCTTTATATGACTATATGAGCAAATGCCTGCATATCTCAATATTTGATATTGTGCTCCCAGTAGGTCTTTGAGGTCAAGGGGGCTTAAACTGGGAGCAACAGGATGTTGTTGTTCTCTGTTGCCCTCACATCATGTTTCTGTGATCGTCTAACTGATCAGGTATCATTCAGTGCAAAACACGGATTACCAATTAAAGGAAATGTGTCCTCAAGAAACAGACAGAAGGCAAAACACAAAACTGGAATGACACCAAAAACCACTAAAGGAAGCGTTTGCTTTCCTGGTAATGGAAGTCAGTACCATTTAGTACCATTTGAGCTAAAAGGTATTGACTTCCTGAACTGCAAACTAAAAAAACAATAAAATTACATAACCCAAATGACGACATTTCAATAAGAGCAACCTCAATAAACATATCTGAGCTGGAAAGTCAATCTGACTTGAAGATCATCACCTGAGAAGACACCCCATTGTCCGTGTCCATCCAGTATGATGCCGGATCCTGTTACCCAGCCACAAAGTGGCAGTTAGCCTCCTGAAAGAGATAGCTCTCCTCGTGGCCCTCGTGGGCCGCTGAGTGACACCATACAGCACCAAGGGCAACATACATTTAGGGGGGCTTCAGGTGTTCAGAGAAACCTGACCTTAAGCAGTCCTTCAAAGACGCCAGTCCCAAAATGTGCCTCCTCCAAGTTACACACACCTGCCAGCTCAGTTGAATGTTTTCAGCTTTGCACGCTAGAGGTTAGATCCTGATAGATTTAAAAATTAAATGTTTATTAGACAGGATTGGCCTAAAGAAACTTTTGAAAGCATTTTGTGCCGAGCATCATGCTTTAGCTTGTAAGAATTTACAAACGTAAAGATGTAAAACCTGAAAAACAAACTAAATTGTACCGCAACATAAATATAGCATCTTTGTGTTACTCTTATCTAATATTTCACCAATATTCAGATAAGTGGACCAACATTTTCAATTGCTAATTTATTGTAAATATAAAGTTTGAGATCCTGGAGGGAAACCCTGACACCTCTCTCACCAGCCACACCCGATTATACTTATAGTTGATCCCAAAGTGTCCCCAAAAGAAATCAACAAACTGCGATGCACCCAGAAAACTTGAGGTGGAATCATATGTCCGAAAACCTTCATAGACTAATTCCTTTTCTGAGGAGCAGCAGCTGGACACTAAGCTGTCCCCAGATGAAGAAGACCTTCTTCTTGTCTGTGAACCTATTCTGCCTAAAAAGGAAGTTAATTTCAGCTGTTTGCATTCAGGATCTTCTTCTTTTGCTCATGATCTGCAGATACATGCATCTCAAGATCAGGACCCGGAACACAGGCTGACCAGTTTTTGAGTCGTCTCTTTCTTTACTATGACAGACCAGGGCAGTCGTAGCTTGAAGCAACAAAGCTAATCTAAATGACTTTCAATGAACGCCACAGCAGGATTAGTGAAATGATTACAACAAGCTCAACTTTTCTCAAAGAATGCAGACGTAACTCATAAGAACGGCGTATCGATTGAAAGCATCCCCAGCACATGACAAACCTCAGCACTACACACACTTGGACTGAACATCCAGTCTTGCATCATCATCATTACAAAAGCTAAGATCCGCTTCACTCTTCAGCAGCCTGGAAATAAACCACAAATGGTCTCTTCTGTTTCTGACTTTCACCAGTTAGTTGAAGCCCGTTCTTTCTAACATCCAAGAATTTCTTCTTCGGTGTTTGTTTTGTTCACTTTCCTTATTTATTCAGGCAAATGCTGCACATTATTGTCATGAGAAGGAGCAGGAGAAGAAGAAAAAATACTAAACATAACATGGAAAGAAGCAAGATTCCGTCTAACGGTTGCACAATATTTTTTTATGTTAAGTCATTTACCTCCCTCTCTTCCAGAGCCATGTGGGTCATGGTTGAACCGGTCTTCTGTGACGATTCTCAGTCCACAGGTGTGCAACTCAAGCACGCAAACTCCAGCACAGAGACTTTAAAATATGAGAATATCTTCCATATTTGAGCCTCTTCAGTTCAGCAATGGGCTAATTTATTCTGTCTTCGGACACTCCACTGTCCTTCATCCAAGAAAAAAACAAAAAACAAAAACAGTCAACACAAACCCTTCACCACAACTCAGGACAGAAAGGGATGGAACTGCTGCTTCCTGCTTGGCTGCTGCTTTGACACTGGTGATTCAGAAATGGGCCACCTGGTTCTGGAAGCAGGGGGCTACTCAAACATTAATGGAGCTGAGGCAGCAAACATTCATCCAGGTCTTCACCTGAGTGTTGAACTGTGTGTTTACGAAGAGTGTGTGGGTGTACATCTATGTCTGTGCAGGTATGTAATACCAGGTTGTTGTAATCCGATCCACCCAGAGACCCACTCTCACCCTCCTCCACACAACATACAGGAAAGGTATTCAGTTACTGATCTTTGATTAGATGGATGTATTTCAAAGTAATTACCTGCAACCTGATAAAACTAGAAGGAAAAAGATTATTCCAGGACTGAATTATTGCAATCTTATTTGTTTAAATGATCAATATTGACATTATTTCAATGTCTAGTATGAAAGAGTTTATTTTTATGAATGTGAAATAAAAAAACATGTTTTAATATTATTTAGTAAATTTGTGAGATACAGATAAATTATGTTTGAGCCCCAAAAATGTAGGTTTGGGACACATCTAGTTGACAGAAAACTAGAAATGAAAGAAGTTGACATTGAAAACATCCATCACTGTGAAACACTGTCAACGCATCTGCAACTTCCACCTTTTGTTTTTCATTTGCTACAGTTCTTGCTTGTCAGGCCAGGCGGTGCTGTCGTCTAATTGCATTTGTTTAAAATTTAACATTGCTTCCTGAAAGCATCACCGGAGCCATCTTAAGTTACTGCCTCATGATTGGGGAAACCACACAGTGATACAAAAGAGCAGGGTGGAAAAATGCTCATTAGCATACAGCAATGCATTATGTAATACTTTGTATACACCTGGAGGTGGTGTGCACTCTAAAATGAATGAGTACTTAACAAATATAAAACCTCTTCTATGATGAACACAGTCTTGTTCAAAGCTTTCAAACATGGGCTTTTCTGTTTTCCACCGCAGGTCTAACAAGTACAAACCAACTTATTCATATGAGGAAACAGCTTCATGCTGAAAGGGACTCTCAGTTTCAGGGACCTCTCAAACTGTTACAGATACTTCAATATTTAAAAATAATTTAAAAACTAAATAAATTCTAGCAGACATCAAACCTTACCTTTGATTCCATGTCTGACTTCTTTGTGCTGAGCGCTACGACTCTGCTGAGTTTCTATGATGTTCAGTGTGAGTCTGTGGCTGATATTGGGACGGAGGGACGCGCTGTGCAATCCACCTGTCTTGTATTTATGGCTGAGCATGCCGCAGCCTCAGCGCATCCTCTGTTGTCCTACTTTGCTTCTGCTTCTCAACCTGACCTTATTCCCGCACAAGGGGACAGAGGACAGTACGATTTAGATGCTCATCAAAAGCTGCAGAAAATCTGGAGAGTCTGGAATCAGCTTTGTATGGGAGAAATGCACTTCAGCAATGTTTGCTTTACATTTTTGTTTTACAATATGTGCTTTGGACTGGTGGCTCACCAGGACGTTGAGTTTATTACAAAGACAAACAGAAAAGTCTGGTTCAGTTATTAAAGAACCTGGATGATGTGGCTGTGCAATTTGAATAAAATAATGACTATTCTGGAAACATACTGCTTTTCTTAATGGCATTAACACATTTACTGATCAAACACACAAAAAGCAAGTAACACAACTGACAACACATAAGGTTTGGCTAGAAAGTGAAAAAAACAAAACAAAAGGGTAATAGCACAACCTACAGCCTGTCACACATCATGACACTCAGCCATGCAAAACTGTAAGTAATGCTTTTTTTTTTTTTTTTTTGCATTCCATCAGTCCTTTTATCTGAAATGTCAGATAAAAAAATGAAAATCATTTTTCATGTAGCAAATAGCTTATCAGGTAGATAACAGAATAAAGTACCATTCATTATTTCTGGCCATTAGTTGTTTATCTTTATTTAAATACCTTAGATGCAGATTTAATTGTCATTTCTACTCTTCACCTGTTAAGCCTTTGTTTATTAGGATTTGTGATCCTTATTTTTGTCTCTGTTTCTTTAACTAAACTCGACACTAATAATGATTCTCTACTCCCAGGAGCATTTATTTGAGTTTAGTCTTCTTATTCCAGCATCGTTCATCTGACATATTATATTTATTTAAATTTTGGAGACTTTGCATTGATTCTCTTGAAGTTTTATTGTGAATCGCTGAAGAGAGACGTTCTCGTTTCCTGGTGTGACCACGCCCCCTTGAGTTTCTGCAGGTATTGTTCTCTGATTGGTTGTCCGGATGAAACCTGAAGCGACCGCACCAGCAGGTTTGACAACAAGTGACCGGTTTGTCTTCAGCTATGCGTCCTGTCCATTGCAGGACGAAAACATGGAAAACTGGTCGAGATCTGCTAAGATCACTTACAGGCGCTGGACCAATTCTGAGCCAGGGTAAAGACAAACAAAAACAAGATTTTTGTTTTTTCCTTTGTAATTTATTGACAGGTGTTATATTGTTGTGCTTTCACTGTTTGCTAATGCACTTTCACTTCCTCTTTTGAACGTCTAATTTTTTTAAGCTGTGAAATGAGTCGTTTTAATTTAGCAGTGACTGACTGACTGTGTGCTGCCTGTGTGTTTAGAATTGTATTTGCAAATTGGCAAATTGTTTATTCCATGATGCATGACTTTGTGTTTTTGTGTTTATGATGTAAAGCACTTTGAAATGCCTTGCTGCTGAAATGTGCTATACAAATAAAATTTGATTTGACTGATTGACAGAGATGGGGGAGAGTTTGTGGGTCACACTGATGAAGACCAGGCCACGGACAATGAGATCTGCACCATCGCCTCAGCACAAGTTGACTCAGGGAGCAGAAAGTCCACCAACAGTTCCGGAAATAACAGAACGGCGGGTTTGCACACAAACTTGTTTCTTATCAGCTATACTTGAATGCTTAGAGTAGCCAAAGATGTAGTTGAAGAATCGGCTGATGTAATTAGTTATGGTAGTTTTCTTAAAGAAAAGAGCGAATGCAATGTAAAGAATGCTTAATTACAGGTCAGTCTGTAAATATGGGAACCGATTATGTAGGCCGTGGCCTCTTTTGGTGTTTGGTTATACAACTGGATCCATAACAGTGTAAAACAGGATCAATGCTGCTGATTGATGTCTGTTGAATAACTAGACCCATAGTTGTTCAGTCAGTGAACACTTTTTACTCTTTACTACACAATCATCCTATTGTGGAACCCTTGAGTAAATTAATGTCTGTTTCTACGTGCAGAAAGTTGCATAAATACAATATGTTCTTTTTAATGACAAATAACACTCCAGTATGGTGGAATAAGTGCAACGCTGGTGTTTTTCTACCATGCATAGACTGTTGCTCGAAGACCTACAATTTCTATTTTAATCATATCTGACCAGAGAATCATCTTCCATTTTGCTTTCTTGTTTTTACTTTTTCAGAAAGATTTATGTAACTTTTAGAACTAAGCTGTTCTAAGTTTGGAGCATTTTTTTAAGCAGAATTACATCCTAACTTAAATTTCCCTCACAATTTCTTCCCTAACCGATCAATTTATTTCAGTTTTTTTTTTTTTTTTGGCTGATTAGCAGACCTTTGCTGATTGCAATCATCTGAATCAGGCCTGTTAAAGCAGGAAAACATCTAAACATGTAGGACAGAGTGCCTTCAGGACCAGGGTGGGGAAACACTGCTCTAATATTCTTTAAAAATCCCTTGCGGCCTTCATAGAACAGCAGGATTTGTCCTGAGATTATACTGAGATTACATGGATTTTATTTAGATTTTATTTAGGCCTTTGAGGATGACAGGTTTTGAAAGCAAACCACAAATCTTTATTAAAGTAATCAAAATTAAGAAATCTGCATTTTGTTCAATTGTATCTACAAACTTCAGTGAGTTTTCTTGAGATTTCATGTGGCATTTAATCGTGAAGTGGAAGGAAAATGATAAATGGAAGCAAAGTGCCTGATGAATTGACACCAATCACTGTTTCTGCCCCTTACCTTCCACAGAAACGTTTTCAGTGGACGATGCACTGGAAGTGGTCGGATTTGGAGTTTTTCAGTGGAAGATCTCGTTCGTTACGGGACTCGCATGGGTAGGAATCCATAAGACTTTTCTCTCACTCTCTCCGTTCTACATGTGTCTCGTGTGTTCCTCTATGTCAGGTGGGAGATTCCATGGAGATGATGATCCTCAGCATCCTGGGGCCCGAGCTGCACTGTGACTGGAGTCTCCCCAGCTATCAAGTGGCGCTCATAACATCAGTAAAAATGCCTTTGGGTGCTTTTTGAGAATTGGTGACTGTGTGATGGTTGCTATTGTTTGCATTCAGCTTTTTTTTTCTCTTTTATTTTATGTTTTTTGTATCAGGTTGTCTTTATTGGGATGGGGATCAGTTCACTCGTTTGGGGTAATGTGGCTGACAAGTACGGAAGAAAAGTAGTAAGTGTCACATTGTTTTGTTTTGTTTTTTTAGGTGTGTTTCATGACCTTCCAGTACTTTCAGTTTTGTTTGTGTCTTGGTGACAGGGTCTGGTCATGTCCATGTGCTGGGCTCTGTACTACGGCCTGCTCAGCGCCTTCAGCCCAGTCTACGGCTGGCTGCTGGCCCTTCGAGGCTTCGTAGGCTTTGGCATTGGAGGAACACCTCAATCGTAAGTTTTCTCTGTCCTTTATGCAAAAGTGAGATACTTCAACAATTGGTGAATGATTTTTTTGCATTTGAGTGTTTTTTTTTTGTTTGCTTTTTTGTTTTTTTAGAGTGACTCTGTACTCTGAATTCCTTCCCGTGAAAGCAAGAGGCATGTCCATTATGTTGATGGCGGTATTTGGAGTTTGTTTCTATGTAGTTTATGAAAGTTTACACTCAAGAAATCATTCAGAAGCATTACAGAAATCATTCTGTTCTTCAGGTTTTCTGGGTCCTTGGCACCGTGTCCGAGGTCCTCCTAGCCCTGTGGGTAATGCCCACTCTGGGTTGGAGGTGGTTACTTGGTCTCTCAGCCATTCCTGTGGGAATTTTTGTTTCTTTCTCCTTTGTAAGTATATTTTTATAAGATTAAGACATAAATGTTACTATTGACAAACTCTTACCTGCCTTCATGTGTCACACAGTGGTTGCCTGAAAGTCCTCGTTTTGATGTCCTGTCAGGGAGAAGAGAAAAGGCAATAGCAACTTTGACTCGCATCGCCCGTGAGAATGGCAAAGAATTACCTCAGGGAACACTCATCGAATATAAACAGGTGACGTTGAAGATAAATGTTTCCTTGGAGATTAAACGATGAAGATGTCCCCACAGGGTGAGGGTTATTTATATGCACTAGTACATATAAATAAAATGAAATTGTCTTTTATTTTCACAGAACGAACGTGGACAGTACAAAGATCTTTTTTCTCCACAGTACTGGAAGATGACTCTTCTTCTATGGTTTATATGGTTTGTATCATGAAGTGTGTGCTTTGTTCTCAACTTTCAGCTTTAATCAAGCTGAAATATTTGGGGTGAATCAGTTTGTACCTAGTTAGCATGTAGCAAAAAGTAATTGTCTTAACCTTTGGGCTCTATCAGAACATGTACAATTATGTACATAAATGCCATATTGGCGTTTTCCATTATTTATTTGATCTATTCTTTTATTCGGAGTGACAGGATTTTTAAACAAGAAAAGTAATTTTTTGATGCACAAGTTTGAATTTCTTCTTTTGTAATTCACACAGAAGTGAGCTTCTGGTCAGGTTGGATATTTGACTGAAATTAAAAAAAAATATTTCAAAAGGGCTTATATCGGCAACAGTCTAGAAGTTAGTTTGATGCTGTGATTTAAAACTTAGTAAGATTATTATTGTTGAGACACCAGATTTATTTAGGAAGGACTTTAAAAGTAGGTTAATTAATTAGCTTTAAATGATTCAGATTGTTTTCTACAATCTTGAAAAAACTTGCCTTCTTTTATTTTTGTGTATTAAAGAGATAGTGCTCAAATAAATTATTACAAAGCCAGAATAAATATTTTATTTATGTCTGTTGTACATGTGTATACACACCTCTAATTCGAGCTCTATTATTGATTCTTCTTTTTTTTTTCTTTCACCAAAGGTTTTCTTTTGCCTTCTCTTATTTTGGGATTGTCCTGCTGACCACTGAACTGTTCCAAACAGGGTCATGCGGAAGTTTGTACCATATTTAAAAAATTATAATAAGTTTTACTTTTATGATGTGACCAAAAAAATATATCACACAGCTCTTCTTTCTCGTAGTAACCCAGGGAAGCAGCATTGAACCGAGGTGCAGCTTAGAATGTAAATATTTGACATCCGCTGACTACAAGGATCTCTTATGGACAACGTTGGCAGAGTTCCCAGGTAAAACATTTGCCAGTATTTTTTTTTTTGTCTGAGGACTGAACTGTAACATTGTTGTGTGTTTTAACATTATTTTCCTTTTTGTGTTGTTTGCTGTTTTTTTAGGCCTTTTAATAATCCTGTTTGCAGTTGATTACCTTGGCAGAAAGAAAAGCATGGCGATTTGTTTTGTCATGTTTTCTTTGTGCATTCTGCCCTTGTATGCTTGCATTGGGAGGTGAGATTGCTCTGTGACACAACAGCAAATGTACACTTTGATGCTCGTGGCATGGCTGACACTGATTTATTTTTGTTTGTTTTTGCAGGATAGCTCTGACAATATTCATCTTCATTGCAAGAGCCTTCATCTCTGGAGGATACCAAGTTGTTTTTGTTTACACACCAGAGGTGTGAATCAGTTTTGCATTAAAAATATCTGTAGGCAAACTGTTGTCCAACACATGTATTTATTTTTGTGATTCAGGTTTTTCCTACAGAAATCAGAGCCTTGGGCATGGGGACTTGCAGTGCTGTTGCAAGAATTGGTGCCCTGATTACACCATTTGTGGCTCAGGTATGCAGCTCTATTATACAGTTGAAGCCAGATATTTATATATTGTGCATAAAAATATACATGGGCAAATTTTCGCACTGTCAGTATAATACGTCAGAATAAACTGTTCCTGTTTTAGGTTAGTTAGACTTGCCAAAAATATTTTTATTTGAGCGTTTTTGGAACGTCACCATTCTCCTTCAATTGATCATTTCGCTGATAAATCGGTGAAGATTTAAATCAACAAACAGCTGCTAACGCTGTTATACACCAAAACCTGTTGAGTGAAACTTCAGTTTTCACTCAACAAAAATAATGAATGTATTTTCTTTCTATATAAACATATGAAGAAACATATGAAGAAAAAAAAACTCCTACAATAAGTATGAGTTTTGGAGTAGCTGGGGAAAAACATGTAAATTTAAGTAAGTTTAAGCATTTGGAAGTTAAATCACATTTGATTATTCTAAACAGAATAACATTGTTTAAACTCTATAATTGCAGATTAAAGCGAGAAGATTTGCAGTTTTCTCTGACAACCTAATTTTGTCTGTAAACTTAAGGTGCTGCTCAGGACGTCAATGTACCTGACCCTTTCAGTGTACTGTGGCTTCAGTCTGCTTGCTGCCCTTGCATCCATATTTCTGCCTATTGAGACTCTGGGCAGGAGTCTGCAGGAGTCCAGCCTTGACTCAGACAGATAAACAACATAACCAGAGAGTCAAATAGCTCAACACACTCCATGGACCAATGACAGGTCAACCAGGAAGAAAGTAACCTTTTGTGCCGTCTAAGCCTTCTGGGAATACATTTGCTTTTGCAACAATGAACTGAATTATCAGAATGATGACTGGAGAAGGTTACAGGGCAATCTTATTATAAACAGGGGGGAAATAAATGAAGGGTTGCTGTCTGTCTAACAATAGGAGAAGGATGCTATTGTTAGCAATAGTATCCTTTTGCTATTGCTAAAGAAAAACTTATTTGAAAAGAATAGTTTTTACCCATTCAGCTCCATCTGGCACTGAGACTGTGTCCTTAAGAAATATAAAGAGAAGTACATTATCTTCGATTTCAACCAAATACTTAATTTAATCTTAGTGACCTTGGACATTTTTTGGATCATTTATAAGGTGATGCTGCTTAACTTCTTAGACTCAGAAAAACAAGAGATTACTTTGAGCCGAATGGAAAGATCAATCATTTTCAAAATCAATTTGTGATAGTTTTTCTCCTGTTTGTCTGTTTTACTTCACTGCATATAGGGGGGAAACATCTTAGTGAAATAAAACCTGATAGACTGGGGGAGAGGAGGAGATATGTATGATAATGGATTCTAATTTCAAATCTTTTGAGAACTGGAAATATGACTGTATCATGTTCAATTTAAAAACCTATAGGAATTTTTAATTTTATGTGATGGACTAACACAAAATGGTCCATTTTGTTGAAGACAAAGGACATCATTTCACTGCGTTTTTGTGCAATTTTACTAATAAAAAATGTAAACTGTACTCAGTTTGTTTTTAGCCTCTCCTTTTACTTTCAAAAAACTTTTGCTTCTACAAAAAAATATTGAAAGATGTACAACATGGTGACTGCTTATTCTTTGGGTCGATAAAACAAATATTTTCCTGAGATTCCAGAAAAGTAAATATTAATATTACATTTATTTTGATATTTAAATACATTTTATCATCTCAATCATTTTATTTAAAAGGTAATTCGCAGGAGTTTGTTTAGTAATTAATTGTATTTAAATGTTGTTATATAATTTATATAATTACTATTTTTTTAAAAAAAAAAAAGACGACTTGCATAATATTTATTTCGCAGAATAACGCTAACAGCATATGGGAGTTCCTAGTCTGGTCTGTCACCTTGACAACATTGGCCCAATGACAGCCCGCACGCGAACTAGGCCAGCCAATCAGAGGCGGCCGCTAAAGCTGCATGTCATTTCTGCTCCGCTTTGCTACCTGCAGCGTGTTTTGTTTGTCTGCTTGCCGTGAAAATCTCCGGGACCGCCGGCTGGAGCCAAACACGGGACGCCTCACCCCACTCCACGCTCATGAGGACCCCCGGAGCCGCGGAGGAGACGCGGAGCGGGCTTCTGTGGAGTCAGGTGCCGCTGGATGAGAGGGTCTGACTAGGCATTATTTTCTACCCGGCGACAGAGGCAGAAGCAGCGGCGCATCCTTCTCCCCTCCCTTCCCTGCTCCTCCGCTGCCCTCCACGGCCGCCGCAGTCCACCAGCCATGGCCCTGGTGACTCTGCAGCGATCTCCCACCCCCAGTGCGGCATCCTCGGCCAGCAGCAGCGCGGGGGAGGTGAGTGGGAAAGCCGGGGACCGGGGATTTGCGTGCAGAAACTGCTCGTGCACGAGCAGATACAGTGTGGCGAATGATATCCTGCAAATCACCCGCGCCTGTGTGTTTTGTGCACTTTTGCAGGGTTTTGTTTCGCTAGTTTTTTTTTTTTTTTTTTTTGCAGCTTTCGCAGCGGATTTGTAAACACAATCCTGCAGAGGGGGGAGGGGGATCCGTCCAGGGTTTAGCTGTCAAAGTGCTCATTTTGCGCTCAGAGGTTGCTCTCCCTGCTTGTTTACTGGGATTTGTGCTCGCACAGCTTTTGCAATTTGGCAGAGTGGCAGTCTTTTTTTTTTTTTTTTTTACACAGTTTAGTCCACAGACTGACCCGTGATCTTTAAGTGATGTAATAGAAACTTACAAAAACAGCTCTGTTATGGGATGGCATCTGATTTAAGAGCATAACACGTGGCTTTGCAAGAATAGCCATTTTTCTCTAGAAACCCCACACAGGCCAGCCCTTTTCTTACTGTTTGTTATCCCTTATTTTGCAGATTGCAACTGCTGCTTTTGTTGTGATACAGATGAAAAACAAATATATTTTCTGAGTTGTCCTTTCTTCCTCAACAATTCTTCATTTTGCTTGGCTTTCAAATCTGTACTGAGGGAGAAAAAAGGTTATCTGCTTTCTGACTCTTGAAGAGTTTATAAAACGTTACATAGCTGGCCAGCAGATGGCGCTACAGCAAACCGTGTAAGTCAAATCACCTAATGTACGTTCAGAAAAACAAAACTATTTAGCATTAGAATTAAAAAAGGGTAGCGCCTATCTATGCTTGGTATTTTAAAATATTTCAACTTAGAACCAATGAGCTAATATAAGTAGCATCAACATTTGTTCATCTGCTTTAAAAAAATCTGTTTTTTTTTTAAACCAGAATATTTAAGAATCACATTAGGAAAAACTTAAATTGTGATATTTTTTATTCCTTTTTTTACATTTTGGAGAAATAGATTTAATTGTCTCAAAAATGACTGCAACAATTACAAAATATGTACCTAGACATCTTGAATAATTGTTTTCTTAAATGATTAAATCTCATTTTTACTTTTTTAATGACAGAAACAGTTTAATGTTTAATATATATATATACATATACATATATATATATATATATATATATATTATATATATATATATATATATATATATATATATATTATATAAAATGATCATTAGGTAAAAATGAACTCAGAGATATGCAAAGGTAAGCGGCCTTCTTAGAGAGTGACTCATATTTCCAAGTTGATCTAAAACATTTCACTCAGCTCCTGTTCAATTTGAAAATCTGGACTTTATTTTTCATTTCTCTTTCAGGATTTCGGAAGTGATGACGACAGGAAAAATAATCAGAGGTAAGACTCAATCTAAAGGAATTCATCGGTTGCATTATCCTTAGGTTTGACAACGTCCTTGTCCGGGTGTGGATCTGAACATGATGTGTCTCTCAGAGCTTTTCTGAAACCTCTCTGGTATTTTCTTGGAATTGAGATCTTGAGCATCTCAGTCCAGACTGAACTTTGACTCCAGCATCAAGCATTTCTCTCTTCTCTCTATTCTCCCTGCCTCTGTGTAAAGAAAAGCAGTCTGTCAAAATAGTACAACATTGCCCGGGTTTGGTAGTATTCGTTGTGTAGCTTTTGGTTTCTGGTGACACTGTTTGTAGCTGCTGCATTAGCCATGTTGCTGCTTGTGGTTGTGACAGTCCAGCAGGGTGGTTCAGACCAGACATGTATACAGACCCATTAAATAAAGTTGAATATTATTTGACACCTTTATTTATCTTAATTCAGATATTAAAATGATATTAATAGACTAGTATTTCTAAAAACAGATGTGTGGGCTCAATGAAAAGTATGTTTACTCCTGCTTGGAGTTTGTTCTTTTCAAAAGATGTTTTTATCCGGACAACCGAGGCTCATATATATTAAAATTTATTTAAAAGAACAATGTTTCCTGAGTCTCACGATTATTTTTTTTAAACCCTGAAATACATCATCAGCTCTGAGATATTACATAGTTGGTTGGTTGCATCCTTGTTTTATTCCTCTGCAAGGTATCTTAAAAAATAAAGCTTACGCTGTCCCTTTTTATTTTCCCTTACTCCCTCCAAAAAACTGGTTTTGTTTTGTTATGACAGATTTCAGCAGCTTCTGAACAGAGAAAAAAACTAAACAAATTGAATCTATTTTAAGAGCAGTTGAAGTCACAAAATGTGGACAGACATGAGGATTTCTGATCTTAGGGGTAAAAATAAAGGCTGAACAATTTTACTGAATGAGTTGAACTGTTACAATTTTGTTCACACTTTAACAAAGCATCCGTGATAATTGGATGCTGCTTATGGTGCTATTGTCTTGGTTCTGTTAAGGTTTTGGGGCACCAGTGGCCTTCATTCATTAATTGTTGGACAGGAAGAAGGCCAAGAAGTTTTTTTGTTAGTGGTATTTGTACTGATATGCTGTGTTTTGGCTTCTCTGTCAGATTCAAATGACTGGACCGCGCCAAAACATAATAACTCTTCACAGTTAGACTATTGAGAAAATTTGCTATGACACCCAGGTGTGTTGCACGAATTTTTCCCGTTGAGTAACGAACTTTGCGTTGTACGGTACGGTACTACTATTTGCATAAATAGTAGCTTCTCTAATGTCTTTACTGAAGTGTTTGTGACTTGGCTTTGCGTTTTCATGCACCTGTATCGTTAAGTCCAACAAACTGTCAAACTTTTGGTTTTATAGAGGTGGTCACACTTTCTGGTGACCAGTCAGTCAAGTGGTAAAATATATTTTATTATATTTGGAATATTCTTCATGCTTTTGTACAGTAGATGTTTGTTTTAAATCATTTTAGGACCTGAGAAATGTCACATAATTATTCATGTCCTGATCCACAAACTTGTGTCAAACACAAGTTAACATTGAACAGCGCTGTGAGAAGAGTTATACTTTTTTTTGTTAGACTTTATTCTGTATTGCCTGTCTTCCTGCCTATTCAATACTTCATTTTCCTCCATGGTTCTCATAGACAAAGCAGGTGAAAATAGATTACATTTTTAAAAAACTGTTTCTCATGCTCTTGCATAACAAACGGTGCATAAACTTTTGTCCCCGCTCACAAACAAGGCTTTGCTTTATCCAACCAACGTCACAGAAGTCAAGGCATGTGTCAGCAAAGCTTTGCTGAACACTCTTGCCTTTGTGTTGGGTTTGTAGGCAGAAAAAAGCCCCGTCATGTTTCGTGATTCAACATCGGCGCGAAGCCTTGGTTCTTGCATGTCAAACATGAGACGTTCCCACCCGCCTGCACACACTCGCATGAATAAGCGCATTGTTGCAGAGTGTTGCACCGCGAGAGCTGATTGCTGAATCACATGCTGCGGAGAGAAGCCGGCAGCACGGCCATGGAAGAAGAGTGAGATGGAAGGAAAGTAGAAGGATGTGGAAGATTGTTTGAGTCGAACCAAATCAGGCTCCAGTTAGAGGAATGGGCGGCTCCGGGACATGAAATGAGGGCCGCCTTTTGGACCAGCTTGAACTTCTCTGAAGTGACTGAAAACATTAAAACCAGCAGGATGCATCTAGTTGTGAAATCTTCACATGGAGCTATTTTCAAAGAGCTGCCTCACCTTGTGGAGAAAGCTTCTGTGACTCGGAGGGAGATTTGTCGCATGTAAGTTCTCAGAGCAGCAAAACGTAGCGACTGGGCTCATATCGAGCTTTAGCCATGAGAGTTTCATCGGGTTAATTTACTAATAATTCTTACTTTTTTAAGCTTTTCAGTTACAGTACTGTTTAAGCACATTCCTCATCTCTTCATAGTTTGTTTGCAAACAGCAAGACATTTGTCTAATCCTTCACTGTGATCTGAAAGCAGTTCTTTGCATGTTTTTATCAGAGGTTTTTAGTTGTTTGTCTTTCCATTTCCCAAACCATGTTGGTCTCTTATGTGAAATTAATGTGTGATTTTTCCAGAAAAGTGTTGCAACAATTAGATACATGGTATCAGTGGCATACAAGTAGAATATGTTCACCTTTTTTTCTGGGTAGTGAATATGCACATATGGAAATTTTCATACAGGAACGTAAACAGATTCATATCGATTCTGAAGATATTTGCTCTGCAATGCACAGAGCATCTATCATGATGATGAACTTCTTAGAATCAAACTAAAGTAACATGCTTCAGAATATGATAAAAACTGTTAAAGTTAATCATTTTCCCATCTGATCAGGTAAATTCTTCTGCCTTGTGTGACGTCATCAACTGAGATGCACTCCAATTAGGAATTTATTTCTTTAAAACCTCTTCCTATAAACTTTACATATCATTAACTAGCTCTGTTTTTATTTTATATTGTCAGTGTCAATTTGTTTGAAAATCCACTTGACAGTCTTCATGTTGCTTTGTTTTTTTAAAATAAATTATTGTTTCTAGTATTATGTTGGTTCAGCAAATCAGGCCTCGGACTTCTTTTTTCTTTTTTTTTTTTTTTTTGCCGCCAACTTATCAAATGACAGTAGCAGCCGAGCTGAAACAAAAGGCCTTGTCATGGTCCCACTCAGTCATACCAGGCTTTGTGGGTTTTTGGTTGAAAGTGGAAAATAAATAAGTGGTAGAACAAAGCCAAACTCTGTGCTAGGCTAAAGCTCTTTTTCTGCTGAATGTGTGTTAAGGTTTGAAGTTCGTCTTTTCCCATTGTGATCGGCAAAGGCATCTGAAACATACAACATGTCTTAAATGCTGGATTGGGACTCACCTGAGCTTCATTTAGCAAAATCCTGCCTAGTGATCATGCAAGGAGTTTTTAAGGCTCTTTTATTAAGTGGGTACATAATATTTTAATGAGTCAGCACATAGAGAAATATAGTTTGTAGTTGTAAGTTTATGTAGCTTCATTTGAGAGATGAAGAGAGAAAAAGCAGCAGAATAAGCAATTTTAAAAGGAAACCGCTTGTTGTACCAACACTTCTTTCAGCTTATGGACATTAGTTGTATTTACTCTATTAAGCTTATGATTACTGGAGCAAACACAACATTCTTCTGTTGGCCTCACAGAAGAATCTGTTGCCACTGCCTTACTGTCCACTGTGTTGATGTCCTTTGTCTGTCTGATTTAGGCCTTTTGTTTTGCTTTTTTCCAGCATCAGTGAAAGCTTCTTCATGGTCAAAGGAGCTGCCCTCTTTCTCCAGCAGGGCGGCAACACACAGGGGCCAAAGACTCCGACGCACCACAAACATGCAGGTAGGAAGAAATAGACACCAAAGGCTTTGCTACTCTCAAAGGTAAATACTAAACTATATTTTTCTGCAGTGTTTGGGGAAAAGTTTGTTGCCTTTTCAATCACTCCTGAAATGTTTCAGATCATCAGTGAACAAAAATCAGTTTTCAAATGATGATTTCAGTTATTTATCCAAAGCAGCTTGACCCCTTTGTGGAAATATAATTACCTGAACCTAAAAACATGTTTTTCTACACACGCAGGTGAAAACTGATATTAAACATTAGTGATTGCTGACGATGAGTCTCTGACATCATACAGGAGGAACTTTGACCCACTCTTCTTTGCACAATTGTCTCAATTCAGCCACACTGGACTTTTTTATATATATAAACTGCCTGTTTAAGGTTGTACCACAGAATTGCAATTGGACTTAAATAGGCCACTTGAAAACCCTCACTATGGCTTTTGAGCCAGTTTTGCTTTGAATTATTGCTCTGCTACATAATCCAAATGTCTTTGTGCTCAAGTTCACAAATTGATGGCTGTGCATTCTTCCTCAGCTTTTTCTGCTTGGTTGCAGATTATTTGGGATCATTTGAGAAGGAGCTTTGTGCTGATTTTGATCAGCGATAGTTTTCACCTTGAAATGCTGCCATGGCTGCTATTTTTACCCCATCTCTTCTTATTATTGTTGAATTATGACCTTAACTGAGGCAGAGAGGCCTGCAGCGCTTTGACGATGTTCTTCTGTGATTTTCGACATGTGTCGTCAATATCCTCCTGGGGTCATTTTGGTTGGTCGGTTTCAGCTAGAAAGGTTTCCTGCTTACTTTATTCCGAATCTGTTCATAAAACCTTGACTCTTAATAAATAAAACTATAATTTGAGAACTGCATTTTGTATTTACTCTGGTTATCTTTTATGTTATGTTTCCTTTTCAGGTGATTTACCTCAACATCTGCAGGTGATGTTCAAGATCCTGCGGTCTGAAGATCGCATCAAGCTGGTCAGCTTTTTGTTCTTCTATAAACATAAACATCATTACATTTATGTACAGCTTTAACATTATTTAAACAGTTAAAATATACACATATTAAACATCCGATGTGGGGAGTTTATGATAAGGATGAGATGTACAGCAGCACTAAAACAGATGATTCATATTTTAGCTTATTTCAGCAGAAAGCACAGATGGCAGATATGACCCAAATAATAATCCAGACCTGCTTTGAAAAACAACTTCAAGTCCCCTCTAAGTTGTTGCTATTTTTATCATTGGATTAAAGTTAAAATATTTCTACAGTGTTGCATCTTTATTGAAATTGTATTTTTATCATCAAATATTCTGCTCTCGACCTCCAGGCTGTGCGTTTGGAAAGCGGATGGTCAGAGCGTGTGCGTTACATGGTTGTTATCTACACTAATGGCCATCAAGACACGGAAGAAAACATTGTTTTGGGAATGGATTTTCCAGACAAGGACAGGTATTCTCTCTGTCAAGCCACTACTTTCTGTGTACTTTCAGATTATGTAATTTGATGAAATGATATTCTTCTAATTTCCAGTAAAAACTGCTCCATTGGGATGGTCCTGCCTCTGTGGAGTGACACTAACATTCATCTGGACGGAGACGGGTAAGATGAGTTGCTGATTAGTCTTTCTTTCAGTCATGCAGTATGTCTGTTTGGGGTCACATGGTGACATACTGCCTCCCAGAGTCAAAAAAGTGAACTACACATAAGAACGATTCTTGCTGACCTGGTAACATTGCCTATGCATGCTGGAGGAATGTTCCATCGCTTGGGCTCACCAAACAAATCCTGTCCCGCTTTTTAACCTTAACCTCAAGCAGGTCCTTTTCTCTCCTTTTCTTCCTCGCCAGAGGCTTCAGCGTGAACACAGCAGGCCGGTCACATGTCTTCAAACCTGTTTCTGTGCAGGCTATGTGGTAAGTAGACACAATACTTGGTTTCTGCTTAAAACAGTTTTATTTCTTCAGAGCAACAGAGCATAAAAACGGCAAATACAGTCAATACAGTTATTCAGAACTTCACAAGCTCTAAAATTGCATCATCAAGAACCCACAAAGAACCATATTTTATTATTTGCTATTACAAAATAAATAATTTCCTACTACTCAATTGTTGGATGACATAAACATATATCAAGCAACAATGATGCATAGGTGTAAATCCCGGGGGTTTGGGAAGCCCATTTAAAGAATGAATGATGAATATGTAGAATAAATCATCATTCATGAACACTGTTAAGTATGGTAGAGGATGTATGATGCTATGGACCTGTTTTCAGTCTGAAATTTTAAGTATTAGCTTTAACTTCACCCAAATATTTCATTACTGTAAAATACTGCAATTTTGTTATTATAATAGTAAACATGTCAGATGCCACCTGCTGGTCAGTTGTGAAAGTAGCAATAAATAGTGTTTTGGTTTGGGGTTTTTTTCCGCTCTAGAAGCGAGTTCTTCTCCACTGTTAGTTGTCTCACTACATATTATTCAGACTGACTGTGAACTGTAGATGACCAAGCTGCCTTTCTGCCCACAGGTCTGCCCTGCAGGTCCTCCATAAGGCATGCGAGGTGTCCCGCCGGCTCAACTACTTCCCAGGAGGCATTGCTCTTACGTGGATGGCGTTCTATGAGAGCTGCATCACCTCAGAGCAAAGCTTCATCAACGAGTGGAACGCAATGACTGACCTGGAGACCACCCGGTCCGATTCCCCCAACATGTTCGTCGATGGGTAAGAGCCTGCAAGCCACCAGCTGTCATGTTACCTTTAGCTTTTAGGTTTAATTGTTCTTTTGTTACTTTTGTTTTAAATATTTATATAATATGGTATAACTTGCTTGTTAGACCCACAGAGCGAGAAAGAACAGAGTGTCTTATCAAGTCCAAACTTCGCAACATCATGATGTTTCAAGACTTGGAGAACATCACGTCAAAGGAGGTTTGTACCGGGTTTACACCCGAACAGTGTGAAATGTTTTATATCGTAGGCTTTTGGCAAAAAGTATTACATATCATCCAGTTTCAAATATAAAAGTGTCCTTCTCGTAGCCGAGGACGAAGGAAACAATTGGTGGTCTACATTTCTTTCTCTCTTATCTCGGTTTGTCTGTGATGTCACACAAGGGAACAATGTCCTCTAATAAATTAAAACCGTGACACTGTGATCTGGATATTTGTGGAGATTTTTATTGAAACATGTGAAAATAATCTGGTGTAATACAGTACAGTAATAAAATCCTCTTCCTCAGATCCGTAATGAGTTGGAGCAGCACATGAGCTGCAACCTCAAAGAGTACAAGGAGTTCATCGACAACGAGATGCTCCTGATCCTGGGTCAGATGGATAAAGCCACACTCATCTTTGACCACGTTTATTTGGTGAGTCCGTTTTTTGTCCTGTTTTAATTTTAGTGACTTTTTTTGGTTGCTGCTGCTTTTATGGTTGAGTTGCATCATCATCACCACATGTCCGAACAAAAAGTGACGTCACAAAATTTCTGTTAGCTTTAGTTTTTCAAATTTAACATTTCTTACACAGGTTTTTCTGTTTTTACTTATCTTTTAGCCTCTTGCACCTCTGAATAGCAGTAGAAGGTTGTAAAAACATGGATATCTCTGCTTTGTTTCTTTGCAGGGTTCTGAGTGGAACGCCTCCAACCTTGAAGAACTACAAAACTGCGGGTTAGCAGTTCATTCATGTTATGTTTTCATGATAGAATCTTGAATATGTAATTTTACTCCATTTAAAAGCTGAAGCAAAAAAATGCATAAAACATAATTTTCATATTTGACACTGTGTACGCGGTTACAGATTGAAGAATACAACTCCATATGTTTCCTTTTGCAGAGTCGGTTACATTCTGAATGTCACCAGAGAGATTGACAACTTCTTCCCGGGGATGTTTTCCTATCACAACGTCCGCGTGTACGACGAGGACGCCACTGACCTGCTGGCCCACTGGAACGACACCTACAACTTTATTGTCAAAGCCAAGTGAGAGCCCTTCACATAAACATGAATCTGACATCACTCTGAGAGGATTTGTTCAAAATAAACACCATGTGAAGGAAAGGAGATGAATTATGAGAGATGATTACTTGAAGTAGAAGTAAAGTTTAAATCAACATTTTAAATTAAGAATAACAATTATCTGGTTTTCCAGAATTACCTGATTTTTTTTTTCTTTTCTTTGAATTAGGAAGAATAACTCAAAGTGCCTGGTGCACTGTAAGATGGGTGTGAGCCGCTCTGCCTCCACAGTTATCGCCTACGCCATGAAGGAATACGGCTGGTCTCTGGAGAAAGCGTACAACTACATCAAGCAGAAGAGGAGCATAGCTCAGCCAAATGCTGGTTTCATGCGGCAGCTGGCGGAGTATGAGGGAATCCTCGATGCCAGGTAAGCTGACCTACGTTTTATGCATAATAAGACAAAAGGCTTTTTAGCAGATTTTCCTTAATGGAAATTAGATCATTTAAGTTTGTTTATTCCATTTTCCTTTGTCATTCATCTACATTTTAATTAGGGTTGCAAAGATACAAATGTTTAGTTCTCTCCTTACTTCTCTCCTACCTCTTGCTATCCTTCCTTTTTTGCTCCTTCCTTCTTTCCATCCTCACTTCTGAATTGTCTATATGTCTACACATCCATCTTTCCATCCACTCACTGTCTTTCTTTTCAACCATTCATCCATTCATTGACCTCTCTGTCCGATGGTCACTTTTTCCTTCCTTATCTTTGTTTATTTTTTATCCTTTCTGTTTTTTTATGGTTCTGTTACATCCTGTCCTATATTATATCTTCCACAAATTCAGAGTAAATTTGTAAAAACTGGCATTGAAAACTTTATAAACTAATGCATTTTTAACATGAAAATTAGTTGAAGCCTCGATAGAGTCTGGCATATATTTTGAAGCAGAACTTATTTTCTGTTCACAGTAAGCAACGTCACAACAAGCTGTGGCGGCCTGACACAGACGAGGAAGGTTCAGACGATCTGCAAGCTTCAGGTCACAGTACAGGTGGAGAGGAGACGCCGGTGCTCAGAGGGGAAGAGGCCTGGGGAGGCTGCGGGGCGTCACCATGCAGGGGTCTGGAGATGGAACCCTTAGACTCTCTCAACTATAACTATTACTTCAGACGTTTATCAGACTCTGCACTCGACAGCGAGCCGTCCACACCGGTGCGGGGACCTCCTCTGTTAGGCATGGAAAGAGTTTTTATCGAAATAGAGGATGTGGAGAGAGATGCCCTGCTGGAGGACGAGGGATTCCCCATGGCCCACCTAACTCTGCCCGGCGAGGGCACCGCCGCTCAGACATGCAGCCGCCTCGACCCAATGGAGGACATGAGACTGAGGCTGGAATTCAGCACGCTGGAGGAAGAGGACGAGGAAGAGGCCAAGAAGGAGGAAGAAGAGATGGCGGCCTTGGCTCAGACACCCGGGAGTTCGGGTGGGAGGAAGACGGGAGAGGAGGCTGAGGGGAACGAGGAGAGCCAGCTGGGTTTAGCCAACCTGAACACCAACAACAGCAACCGCCTGGCTGCCAAGCGTAGCTGTCCTGCAGCTTTTGATGTGAGTTATTTGAATTTTTATCATTATAAAGTGGTCAGTTTAAACATTATTTAGGTTTCAAACAGAACTTTAAACAGAAATACATGTAGAAATTGTTGATTGGCTGGAGTAGGGCGATTTTCATTTGAACAAACAATTTCTCTGCATGTTTGAACAAGGAATGTTTTATAATTTTGGGTCTGTTTTTTACTCTGAGCTTAAAATTTCTCAGTTTAAACTCACCTCAGAGAAAAAAACCAAAAGGTCTAACATCCAATTTGGATAGACAAAGGTTTCTCACCACATCCAAAAGTGAATAGAAACTTTGTTGTAACTCATAAATTCAGACACATTACTATAGAATCTGTCTCTTAAATGTGATCCTTTAAAGTGTGAATTGATAAAATGTAATTAAAATCACTAGTGTTAGCAAGTACACTACAAAAAGTAAAATCTTAGTCATTTTATTCTACGTTCTAGTGCTCACACACCTGAACTTTACACAGCTACAAACAGAAAGGTCAGATGATAAGAATTAGATAAAAGTCTGATGTAAAAACTGTCTTCAAAGGGTTAAATATTGAATATGAAAAAATGTCTCTGAATTTATGGTTTTAAAAGGAATTTTTAGAATTTGGCTAAAACTAGTCTTCGAAGTCCTGACCAGTATTATGATTTTATTTTATTTTTTAAATTATGTTACTGACTCTCCTCTTTCTGTTTCCATTTTGATCAATTTAGGACAGTGCCAGCGCAGGAAACCCATTGAAAGTGAAGCCTTCCTATCAGTCCTGTAAAGACTGCATGCGTCTACCACAAGGGCGGCGATGCGACCGTCCAGCAGGAGGCCGTTCACACCGCCTTAACCCCTCCCGCCACTGCACCGTACCCTCCATATGCATAGATCCTCCGGGGACGCACTTTACATCAACCCCGGTTCTGTCAACCCCGACGGTCATTCCGTCTAACTTGGTCCAGCCCTGCACTAACTTCTACCAATGTTCCAGCTGCACCATTGGTTGCACATCCACTCCTGAAGCCAGCCATCAAAAACTTTTCTCACCCATGAACTGTGAGGAAACGCCTCCGGACGGCAGCTCGGTGGAGACAGAGGACATGGAGGAGCCGCAGAACGAGGTCACGAGGCCGAGCAACGAGGCCATCGATGTGACTGAAGCCGATGGGCTCAAATTTGGTGCTGAGATTGCAAGCTTCCAGTAGGTCCTCTGCCTTAGTCCCAAACTGATGCATCCTCTCCACAAAGGAGCTGGCTTACCACTGCCTCAGCTGTTGTGATGGCTGTGAATATTAGATGCTGTGGTGTTGCACCAGGAATGCAGAAGCTCTGCAGTGACCTCTGCTGTTTCAAGCTTGCCTCATAACTTCAGAAAATAAGTTAGTACACTGCAAAAGCACACAGATTTTTTTGTCTAGTTTCTAGTGAAATAAAACAGAAATAACTTACAAATAACTTTTCAGCAAGATACAGGAGCTAAGTCAATAATTCCTTAATATTGTTTTTTTTTTTTTATACCAATTCTACTGGCAGATTATATCACTATACATTTTTTATTAATATTAAGAAATTATCAACTTAGAACAAGCTCTTATCTTGCTGAAAAGTTATTGGTAAGTTAGTTTTGTTTTATTTCAAGTGCACTAAAATATTTGCATTAGAAACTTGACCAAAAATACTTAAGATTTTGTGTTTTTTGCAGTCTAGCAGCTATGTGCGGCTTTACAGAGAGTGCCCTTTTTTGAAGCCGGCTGTTTTCAAAACCTGGATAGAGAGGGCTAAGTAAGGAGAGAAGAGCTGCTTCCATTTACTGTTTAAGAGCTTCATATGAGCCCTGTACACTTTCCACTCCCAGCACACATGCAGTTTTGCCACACTTCAGTGGAGATGCACCCATCACACCATCAGCAAAGGTTGTTAGGTCTAGTTCATGTTGCCTGAATACAAAACGCTAAATTTGGCACATTAATCTTAACACAAACAGCTTCTGACAGCATGCTCTATGTTTGGAATCATATTCAAAGTATTCAGTACGTACTCATGCGGGAGCTCAATACAATATTTACATTTGGGCCTGGTCTCACACATCATGTTATCCTCTTGCCTGCTGATATTGTTGCTGCTGCAGCTGCTTTTTGCATTGTGTGTGTATTCACAGTAATTTAAAAAACAGATGTAATCATGAGTTTCTGGACGACACACTTTTCAGACTGTTTTGGAGAAGGACTGTTTTGTTCTCAGTTCTCTTTTATCGTTAAGCCTGACCTCTTCTAATAAAGTTAATTGAATCATCTACTTTAGGCGCTCAGTTTAGCCCATGAGTGAGCATGCAAAATCCCAAAATATGTTTTGTTAAACATTTCTTCATTTTTGCTTGTATTAATATTGTAGCTGTGGGTCGCGCTATTTAATAACAACTGAAAGCACATTGATTTAAAATGAAATTCTGTCGTAAATGGACTAAAATGTTAGTTACCTCGAGGTACAATTTGACTGAACCACTGTTAACTATTTCCTCCCATAACCAAGTTTTCCTGTTACCTCGGCCACTTCTTGTGTGGTTTTTGTACTTTTTGATACAAAACTGTGCCATTTATACAAATTACATCCACTGAAAGTGTTTTTTTGGGGGGGTTCTAAAAAATGAGTAGCACTAAAGACTCTTGAAGTTCTCCATGTAAATGAGGGAAAGTATTGCCGGCCTTCAGTCCTCACTTTAAAATTGGAGGAAAGAAAGAATTATATGACATAAAAAGCCTAAAGGTTGATTGAAATGTATTGAAAACTATTGATTCCTACATTCGATTTTTGTTCTTGGTTATGGTTCAAATAATGGACATTGTAGTTAATGACATCCTAGTTATTTAAATATTTAGTCATTTACAGAACAGCCAAAATGTGTCACATCTCCTCTGCCGTTTTTGAGAGCTGTAATAGAGTACGTCCGTTATGCAGTGTGGGTTTCCTGAGTGATTTGAGCCTGCATTGCTCATTTTCATAGTAGCAGCAAAGCTGACTTTATTAAGTCAGCTCTGCTGACTTAATAAAACTCAGGAGTTTTAAGAACAGCAAGCTTAAAATGAATAAAACAGAATAAAAAGAAATAATAATTTAGACATTAGCAAGAAACTATGGCAGACATAAAGAAAATCAAAAATTAGGTTAACAACCTTAGACTGAGGCTAAAGGAAAGAGACGGGTCTTTAGGGCAGATTTAAAAATGTCTCATTTGGTAGCTTCAATGGAAAAGCCGTTTCCTCCCTAAGTTTTTTTTGTTTGTTTGTTTTTTCTGCGTCCTTGGCACCTCAGCTGCAGCTGATTAGCTGATCTGCCCGACCAATAAGGAAATTGGAAGCACATAATTTGAAGATGAACTGGGAACATGAACCTCAAGCCCAGGATTCAAACTCATCACACCCCACCTGGCTCTGAATACCATAATTTATTCTATTTACTTACTGAAAAATATATTTCAAGCTTTACAGCCTTGCTGTGACTGATGTGGTGTTTGCAACTCCACAGCAAGGCTGAATCTGATCATGAAAGTGCAGAATTTTATTCTTTGAGTAATAAAACTATGTAGACTGTTAAAAAAGTATCTTTCACCTTGACACTAAAATACGGTTTTCCAAATTTGATAGGGATGGTGTTTCTGGAGGTTTTGGGGGTGATACATTTGTAATTACACATCAACCAGTCAAACATTTATTATTGCTCTTAAATCCAGTCAATCTTATCTTCATTCTTCAAGAAATATAAATACAGCGAAAAGAAATGTTAATGGTAATCTTCCTTTTTGTCCAAGAAGCTGTTAAAAGCTGGAAAATATTTGATATTCGCAACAAAAGCTGCTTTTGTTATAAACTGAATGGTCAAATAGCACATGGAGGTTTCGACATCTGGCCAATCCATTTTGTTTTGAAGATTATTTTGGTTTTACATGAGCATCCAGTCCAACTCACAGTTGTCCAGTTTTTTGGAAGTTGAGCCATGATTAGTTTCTCTTCAGGTTCTTTCTGTGTAGCTGATGGTACTTTTTTTTTAAGTCTCAATGATGCCTGCTTTTGTGCAGGAAAAGAACTTATTTTGTTCTGTCTATTTTGAGGTCTTCAGGGAAATGAAAGAATTGAAAGAGTCATTGGTGATTAGTTGCATCTACCTTTTGTGTTATTTTACAATTTTTTTATACATCTTAGTAGAAAACAATGCATCCAGTGTGTCTTAGCTGAATCTGAGAGAGCTGTGTGTTTGCTCTTCTAATTAAATTATAACATTGGGTGTTTCTCGAGCTGTTTTGCTCCTTCCTATGACTGTCTGAGCATCTTTGACACATATTCCTGACATTTTTTAAGAGTCTAAATGTTGTATTTAAAAGTATAATTCAATTCTAATTATTATATAATTGATTTTGCAGTCTGAAAGTGCATAAACTTATTAATCAAATTCTCACGTTTTTCTTTTGTTTAGATTTTGTGGCATCTAGTGGTAAAGGTGCAAATTGCAACTTCCTGAAGGTAAGCTTCATCTTACCTTCTTTGTGCCACATATTTTCACATATTTCCCTCGATATATTAGTTTAACTCACAGGTGTCAAACTCCAGTCCTCAAGGGCTGGTGTCCTGCAACTCTTAGATGTGCCACAGGTACAAAAAAATGCTGTAACGAAATGGCTTAATTACCTCTTCCTTGTGTAGATCAGTTCTCTAGAGCCTTGCTAATGACCTAATTATTCTGTTCAGGTGTGGTGCAGCAGAGTCACATCTAAAAGTTGCAGGACACCTTGAGGACTGGAGTTTGACACCCCTGCTATAACTGGACTACGCTGGGATGTTTTAAATCTAGACAACCATGTCATCCATTGTAATAGTAATTCCGATTTTCTTGTTTTGCATTTATCGTGTGATATGTTTCCAAGATTGTTTATATTTCTTTTTAAAAAATGCCTCTGAGAGTTTATTTATAAAATTCAGGTGGTACATATAATAAGTGTCTATCACTCAGAAGTATGAAGTCTATGCTGCATCCGGTGCTATTATTTTTATGATTTTTACTATTGTTTTTGTTTAATTAGGATACCATTGTTGTTTTTATGTTAATTGTGAATATCTCAATGTTCTGGGGGTTTTTTTAGACTTCTGTGAGCTTTCGGTGACTATTTGGGTATGGTTGTACTTTTTCGGGTGTGGTGGTTTCTTGCTAAACATTTTCTGGTGTTTAAAAAAAGGTCCGTCTGCCACAGGACAATTCGTACTCATTCTGACGACCGATGAAAATTGCAGCATAAAAGATATTTTATGCTTCAATGAGATGGGATCACATGACTCCAATCAACAATGACCTTCAGCAGAAGTTATTCTGGTTCATTTGGGGGTCATAATCTAAAGGTGCTGACCGTCCAAAAATTGAGATTAGAATCACAATTGTTTGAAACAGAGTAGGAGTACAGTACATATTTTATTGTTAAAACTGAATTATGTGAACTCTGAGCTTTCCATAATTCATGAAAAATAGTTCAATAAGCTGATATGCAATGCTTCAGGTGCAAGAAGGTATGAAATGGTGATGTATGGGTAAAAAAGGAGTATTTATTATCAAGAATTAGAATTGTTCAGGAGCCTAGATTTCAAATGTCCACTATGCCACCATCTAGAAAATGCTCAATTTCATTTTTAGTTTTTGATACCTGGTGCTCTGTCCGCATCAGTCTCCTTCTTCATAAGTTATTGATTTACTTAGACTCTTAACAGCTGCTTTACTTGATTCTCATCGTACTCTCTGTCTGTCTTCAAACTTCAGCACCATATTTGTTTTGCTTTTCGCCTCACGTTTAAATATCCTTTTGTATTGAAGTGCCTTATCTGTGGCCACAGCTCTGTTGTAAAGCACTGCAGCAATTGCGGATGGGTTTTCAGAAAAATGTGTTTAACTTTTAATTTATCTTCACCTTTTGAAAGTTTATGCTTCTTGCAGCATTTAACTCAGCACATGAATATTGTATGCAAACAAATATGCTCATACATGCCAACTTCTCCCTCATAACTCATGTACTTAATGGACTTCCATCTATTATTAGCCTGTAATGATACTGTATTTGTTATCGTAAAGCTTGCCGTATGCTGCATCGGTTCAGTAGCTGGCTGAAGAACATTTATTTGCTGGAAAAAGAGAAATCATTTGCATCAAATTGTTACAAATTAAGAGTTTGTCTTTGAGATGCTGCAGTCTGGACAAGTCTTTCTTCTACAGTACATCAGCTTAACAACAACATTAAGAAAAAAATACCAATAGTGTTATTGTGTATCAAGAAGCACTTGTGAATTATTGTGTTTTTAGCACAGCAAAAAATGATTTGCAATCATTGTAACTTTGGAAAATATTTTCCAGTTGTGAATTAGTTTTTTTTTAATTTTTATTTATTTATTTTTCAGTTCAAATAGTGCCAAATACAGGACTCGAAAAGGACAATCCCAGTTATGAGCCTGACATAACCGTGAGGGCGGTGAGCTGTATTGTAGTTTAAAAGGGGGGATTGTATTTAGAGCACAAGTATTTCCCAAAGCATGTGAGGTTGAGATGAGTGGTAAATGTAGAAAAAACACGTGGAGAGCAAGCTGATTTAATGTTCACGTTTTGTTTTCTGGTTATCTGTGTACTGTATTAGTGTTCAGGTGTACGCAATTTTTTTTTTTTTTTTTTACATTTTGTTACACTGTGTCCAGTCTGTTGTATATAATGGAAATAAAAAACATTTTCTGTAAAATCTGAGCAATAAGTTGTTGTAAATGCTTAGAGAGTGTTGTTTTTAATTTACATTTTTTTGAGGATCACACAGAAAAGTACATCCACTTACATGTGGAGTTCCTCTTGGTTATATTCTTGCACTCCCTTTTTTCTCATAGATGAGACTCACCCACAAATAATCATCCATAGTCATCTTGCTATTTGCAGAAACAGGAAAAGCTTAGTTTTATTTTAATGTCAGAAACATAACATTTTTTGTGTGTGTTTTCTTATTCTTACCTGGTTTCTGCTGTTCATAAAACTGACACTGGACAAGAGAGAACTCTTCACCGAGACCAATTGTGTCCAAATGCCACTATCAGGTGAATGTCCCTGGAGGAAAAAGGAGAAACTCATGAAAGAAGCTCAGAATGTAATAATAAAGAGATCCAGCAAGGACACAAACCACCAGATCTGCCTGCTTCTGCTTTGACTGTCTCTTTTAGTCAAATGCACTATAAGTGCAGAAGGCGCTTTTATTGAATTAGTCAAATGAAGTACAGCTGACATAACGAGGCAGGTGACTCCGGGAGGAGTGATCTCCCAGACGGAGCGAAGTCCCAAAGGACGACGGTCAAGCGCAGCATCATCGTGGGTAAGTGTTCACTCTGTTGAATTATCCCTCTGGCTCTTATAGTTGCAAAACTCTTAGCTAACACTGTTATAACTTGTGAAAAATTGATCACTTTTATTTTGTTATTTTTCTTGTTTTAATCCTCATGTGTTTTGTGTTTATGGCTTAAATGTTAATGGTTGGTTTATTTTTCTATTATAATAGAATAGCTGTCATATTAAACAAACAGCAGGGCCAGGTCAGTGTAAAATATGTGAACACATAAATACATCTCTGAACCTTAATTCAAAACATTTCTTGAGTTTTTGTAAACACTTTTTGAAGCTCTTTACATCATGGTACATCCTGTCTCGCTTGTCTCCATGTAAATGTTACTGTGCAGCTTGATCAGACAAATGAATATCACCTCCAACAATTTGAATTTCAGTTTATTACCGACAGAAGAGTCAGTTCTGCAACTGGAAAACAAGGCCTCTGCTAAGACGGAGATAATAGTTCGGGTACTCTTGGTCACAAGGCTCTTATAAACTTTTGGCTAGCTCTGTACAGCGTGAGAGACACAAACATGGGAAATGGGCAGAGAGACAGAGAAGGAGTTGGTCATACCATGAATGCCTCCCACTGCTGCCATTTTAACACATCCATCTCAAAATAACGCTTCAGATGCAGTAAAGCCGCAAGAGCACGCATCTGTCAAGCTGTTAAACTGCCATCATGGACACACCAGATGAACAGAGCTGCAGTGAAAACATGTTGGCTGGTACGGGAATATAAAGAGTGTAAGTTGAACAAAATGTGGTAGTACTCCCACACTCCGGTCAAAAGAAAAAGTCCCTTTTGCTGATCCAACTTTTCTGAGTTTATCTGTTTTACCCTCATCCAGTACATTTCCATAATCGTCAAGACGGGGAATACAATTAATACACTGTCTTTATTCTAATATTTAACTAGCAAAATTTAAAGCCACACTGTATTCCAAAAACATTAGCACCTTTTGACCTTTTTGACTTTGTCATGTAGCGAAAAACTGTGTATTCTATCTGAATTACCACAAAAGTTACAGTGAAATTAACTTTTATGGTAAATGACAGTAAGAACAACTGTTTCAGACAATTTTCTGTGAATTTTAGAGAACAAACAGCAGAATCTAGGTCAAGGAAAATGCCAGACAAGTCAGGGATGAAGTTATGTTGAAGATTAAGGAATTATGGTATAAAAATCTCAAAAAGCATTGTTCCAATCATCGTCCAGAAGTGGCAAGACTATCACACACCCTCTGATATTTGGCCGTCCACCTAAATTGACAGACTGGACAAGAATCAGAGAAAAAACCTGGAGGCGTAAAGTAATGAGGGGAGCTGTACAGACACACTGCTCAGGTGGAATAATCTCCAACATGCAGGAACTCCCTGAAATGCCCTTTACAGAGAAGTAGCAAAAAGAAAGTCATCAAAAACCTTGTGAAATATAAATCACTTGTGGAAAAAGAGTGAAATTATTATAGCTTAGAAATTAGTAAAACAAGCACAGATTTGTTTTGTTTATTTTTTGATGTAGTTTTGTGAACCTTTCAATCACTGGAAAACTTTCAATATTAACTGTAAAAACCAGAACAAAAAAGCAGGATCATCTTGCTAAAATTATAATTAAATTGATCCCAGAGTTCACTGTAAATCAACTACCTGGTATTGCATTATTTTGGGGGATCTTTTCTTTTTAGGCCTGGTGCTTTCTTTGTAAGTTAAAAATACTGGGAGCGCCTGACAGTAAAGTCAGTTGAGCTGTTTTCCCCTTGTTATAATCCCTCATGCACCATCCATCATGTCTGCAGCTAAAACAGGCTCTTCAAACCACAATTCCCCTCATGTGTCAGAGCCTTTGTGACTCGAATCACGTATTCCTGGCGACCTTTCTGTAGCTCCCGTCACCAAAACAATCATAAACATTCAGACCGTCTGAAGGAAAGCACGCATGGCACAAACAAGCCTTGTCAACACAGCACTAATTGGCAATGTGGGGTACGTCAGAACAGAGTAGGTGTGTCTATAGTAGAAAAATTGATTTCATAGAAAATCAAAGCTTAGTGATTTAGATTCAAAGAAAAACAAAAGACGTATTTATTTCGTTGACGTATTTGTCTGCAAGCGTGAGATCATTCGATCATATCTGACCTTGGCACCTGGCAGCTGACCTCCTATCGACCTTATCTTGTTTCCTTTTTGGCCTCTTGACTCACTGGCAGCAGTCAGACCTGCTTTAATTATAGCCTCTGCAGCATTCCTGTCTGACAGAATAGGAAGAGGAAGATAGTGAGGCCTTGGGAAGCCAATTATGAACAGTGGAAGAATGTCTAAAAATAGAGAGAGGTTAAAGAAAATTAAAGATAATCTGTGAAAGCTGTAGTGGAATTTCACTTGATTCAGGGCAGAGACAAAATACAGCCTTTATGTGTGTGTTTTGCTTTTGCATTTACAGAAAAGGAGTCATGGGGCAGAAGCTGGAGAGGATGTCTGAAAAAGACGAGGAATCCCTGGATAATTCTGACTGGTCCGAGCAAACCGGAGACAAGCGTTTCTCCGAGGTTGCGGGACAAGACGAGGGAAGACATCAGGAGGATAGCAGTTCTGTGTCCAATCTGAGCATTGGTGGGATTAGAATAATCGACAACTCAGGGAAACTGGCTGTCATTTCTTCACATACAGGCCCCCAAAGCGGGCAGCCAATCAGGGCTGAGGGTCAGCAGGAACACCTTCTGAACTCCAGAGGAGAGTGGGTGGCGCCAGGCAGGGAGACAGACTCTCATGCTGTTGGGGACTCAAAAAGGGTCCTGAGCTTTAAGGGGACGAGACGAATCTCCAACAAAAAGCAAGGCTCTGAAAAAGGGGCAGCGGCCAGGAGGGGGGCTGCAGAGATGGATGAGCAAGACAATCTGAACTTCTCAGACACAGACAGCAGCAAGGGTGTAACAACCGCATGCAACCCTTCCAACGAGGAAGACTTTGTAGTTCTGGAAAGAGATGAGAACTGGATGTCGAATGATGTGGAAAACAGCACCGCAGGTCCCCAAAGCAGACCTGGGTGCGAGGAGGAAGGTTCTGACATTTGCAATGACGGCAAACTTTTACAATCTTCCAGGATTTCACCTCAAGAGAAGAATAAAGACAGTGCACGTGCTAAGGGTTCAGGCGGAGACAGTTTAGAGACAGAAATGGGTCGTCATTCAACTCAAGTGACAGCCAGCAGGTGCCAGCTAAAAGGAGTAAGCTGTGGCCGGGCTGCTCTAACCAAGACAACTGGGAAGGGAATAGCAGAGGCGGACGAAAATATTGCCATTCGTATGAAGGAGGAGCAAAACACCTGTAAGGATCAGCGGCAAGAAGTTGATCACAAACATGAGAACAGGTTTGCTGGTGCTGTGTCCAAGAGGGCCAAAGCTGGAGTCCATAGCAACCTACTATCTTCTACCAAAAGAGATAATGTTCAAATCACCAGCTCTCACCTTTCACAAACTGAAGCGTCTAATTCCGGAGAACCACACCTGCAAGACGGTCATTCAATGACCCTGGAACAAACTAATTCTATGCCTTCTCCACTGCAGGCGGGAAGCTGTGATGAAACTATCCAGGTTGCTTGTCTGAAAAAGGAAAGTGAGCTTGTTTGCTTCTCTGCAGTCGTCACACCTCCACCTGTAACTCACAGTTTACCAGGGAAAGACACATCAAGTCCACCAGAAGCACCGTCTGCCTTGTCCACCATGCCAGCAGAGAAATCCAGACCAAAAGGTCCACCTCCTCCCGTCCCCAAAAAGCCCAAGAATCCTTTCATAAAGCTTAAAACTGCCCAGCTAATGTCTACTGAAGTGCAAAGAAGAGTCAAAGATCATCTGCGATCAGAGGATAAGGCCAAGAGGAGACACACGTTTCATTTCAACAAACATCTTCCATATGGTGCACCAACTAATCAGGACATGTGCATGTTGTGGGACGAAAGGGGCTCGTATGCTGTACCGCCTCACTTCCGCCGACTATCAGCTGACGTTGGTCAGTGGGACCGTCTGTCTCCGAGGGACATGGATGATCGCTTTGGAGATATGATTGATTATGAATATTGTGAGCGAATGGCAGAGCTGTCTCCAGAGGAAGAGCCTCAAAACCTGGACATGATGCAGAGACGGGTGTTCCTAGAGAGACGATCCAGATGCAAATGGTCGCCTCCTCCTGTTACGGAAATTCTTTCCAGGCCAAGGGTCGTGCCTAACGATGAAACTGAAAGCCGAAAACATACGTTTTTAGAGAAAAAGGAAACACAACCGATCCTTCTGACTCACAGAGTCGATACACACAGCCAATGCGAGCATGCTAAAGATTCAACAGATCCCACCAGCAGCAGAGACACAGAAAGATGCAGCGAGGTGGGGTCCTACAAGCCGGTGGCCGAAATTGTGAAAGAAACGAACCAAATGCAGAGACAGCAAGGTCGAGTCAAACCTGAAGGGCCCAAAGTTCAGGTTCGTCTGGCAGAGCAGAACCCAACTTTGAAAGTTTCCCAAATGAAGAATGCCTTTGATGTCCCAAAGAAATCCAAGGAGAGACCAGTGGAAATCCAAGCACCTCCAAAGAAAGGTAGGAACCAAAACTATACACAACTAATGTCCTCTTCCACATTTTCAACATTATTAAACATGTCTCTCCTATAGAGATTATTTATTTTATTTTTAAACTCCACACTTGGTGGGCAGAAACCACAGTAAACCATCCCTTCTGAGGCTTTAGGTTTTAAACTAATTTATTTAATTTTCTGCCAGCCTATACCATTATCAGGCTAGAAAACAAAAGAGAAAAATTACTTACAGACCAAAACTAAATTTATTAAGCTGTGACTGAATTTATAAATAAACTCTGCAGGAAGTATACGCTTCGAGGAAACAAAAATGTCTCAAATATTACCAGTTGTCGGCCCTTTTAATCAATATCCTCATCACTTATATTCTTATATTGCGTTTATTTTGTATTAATGAAGACAAAGTCCTGGAAATCAAGGAGAGAAACCACAATGAAAAAGATTTTAGACATATTTGTTAGTAGTTTATTACCAGGTCACATCAAAACCTGGTGATAATGTGTGACAAACCATTCCTTCTGGTTTCAATGCTTTGTGCACGATCTCCATAAAAACACAATTCTGTCGACCTTTTGGAAGAAACACCAAGAATCCAAAGGTCTGAAAACCTCCTTCTTTTATTTAAATGTTTCCAAAATATGAACACAAACAACCACTTAGGATGCAAAGCTACAAAATCACAGTAGACTTTAATCTGACCAAATGATGGAAACATGCAGACTCCACAAAAAAAAAAAAACGCAAAATGCTATGCAATAAGATTTACATAGTGCTAAGAAATTACATTTTCCAGCAAAGATATCAAGAAGGGGAAAAAATGCAAAAAAAAAAAAAATTAAAAACTAAAGGGAAGGAGACAAATTACAATGAAATGAACAAGGCCCGCGGACCACACAGTGGACACAACTGTGACATCAGCTTAATGAAAACTGATGAACAAACTGTAAGCGCATTTTTTCATATGATTTATTTAAGCAGTTGTGGCCAGAAACTGTGTAGTGTGAAGGGAAATGAGGGAATGGAAAGATGTCCAGCTTGAACTCTAATGTTTCTTATTATTATTATTATTTTAAGAAAACAAAATGATCCTATAAAGACATGTGGAGGACAGACTGACGCTTTGGGGGTTTTCTTTTCCTGACACCACCATCCCCATTTCCATTCAGATCATTGAGAAATCAGAGCTGGCGTTTGGTTTGCGCATGTGCCGTAGCCCAATGTATCCTGGTGAATTTAATAACGGGATGAGAATAGAGTACGGCTAGTCTTCCGCAGGTGAGGAGCAGGCAGCAGATGCGGTGTTTTTAACCACTATATTTAAAGGGATTTTAGCCCGGGTTTACTTTACCTATTAATATTTGAGAGGGGGCAATAAGATCCTTGCAGCTGGACTAATTTTTTTCCAGCGGAGACAAGGGATACTGAAGCAACGTCCTGCAGGATAAGGGCGCGCCTAAACTGCCACATTCATGTGTTGAGATTGATTTTTCTCCCTCCTTGCGTTGGAAAATCTTGCATAGATTTTAGGAGGTAAGAAAACTTGAACTGTGTCCCTTTTTTTGCATCGTGCAATTTAGCATTTATTTTGTGAGCTTTGCAGCATCCGTGGACGCTCGCTGGATGGGTTTGGGAATGAGAGCGACCCAAAAAATGAAAATAAATAAATAAATTCTGGGTGGAAATTTCTGCACTTGAGTCAGCTGGCAGCGGTCCACCGCAGCTAACGGCTAGCAAGCCTGCTAACCCACGGGCAACCGAGATGGAAAAAAACATTTCGGGGCTAAAGGAAGGCTTTTTGTCTGGATAGTGGTTTCACATGAAGCTAACGGCTCCCATTGTTCCGCCTCCTGACGGTGAAACGTCTGTGTCGGTGTCTGTTGACGGGACCAGCCCCGTTACAGCTTCCAGCTGCCACTGCGTTGAAGTTGGCTTCCGATTCGAGACTTTCGAGGCAGTCGTGTAAAGGACCATTTCGCTCTTTTTACGGGGCTCTACTCTGGCAATGGTCAAAAATCTCAAAATGGTCAAAATTTAATTAATTTACTCTACACTGGCCACAGTTTGTTTAAAACATAACCTACAATATGTGAAACCTTTATTCTTTTTGTGAAACCTAAAACTATCTAACCTCAAACAAAGCTATTAAAATTGCTATTAAATAATAACACTTTGTGTTGCTTGCAATGTAATGTATATTAAATTTATGGCTTCAACAGTAACAATTCTCAGGATTTTATTTATGTATTTGTAGCTACTTTATCATTTGGAAACCCCAGAGATCTTGCCCCAACTTTGGGAACAAATCACATTTCTTGGTGTGTAAATCCACAAATATTGAACTTATTTGCATTTCTACAGATAAAGATTTGAGCAGTCATAAAACTTTTTTTAATCTATCTGTAGATTAGGTTAAGGTTCGACTATTATTTTAGCCTTTTTTTTACTAGAGCAGCCCAAAATTAGCCTATATTCCCCAACAACTGTGAAAGACCCTCGTTCTATGAATCAGAAGCTAACTTCAAAGTCCACCCTCTGTTTAACCTCGCACTAAGGTTAGCAAGCGCGGCTAGCTTTAATTAGCATTCTCTTTTACAACGTCAAAAAGGATGCTTTATAACGTCTGGCAACATCGTTTTGAACCACTACTCTAGCGTAACTGTCTCCTTAATTTCCACTGTATGTAACGCCTGTTTTTAATGTAGAGCTCAAAGGGAATATTAGCTAATGTTGCTAGCATCGCATGCTAGGTAACCATTGTTTAACAGCAGCACCGTGCTGCGCAGCTTCCATTGAAAACACGAAGCGGAATTCAAATGTTCAACGTGCCGGTGGTGTGATAGGCTAAAGCCGAGTTAAAGCGGTAGTAGCTGTATCTGTGGAGGCACTGTTAACGATAGCATCATGTTCTGCATGGTTTTTCCACTGTTTGCTTTTGACTCTAATGTCTAGAGGAGTCCCAAAAATGCACATTAGAACATGAAAATGGATGTAGACAACTGAAAACGACTACAGGCTGTTCAGATTGTTATACGACAGGAAAACATATGACTGAAATGAAACATATAATGCCACTAGTTTGGCACAGTTGGCTGTGCACGTGCACAGGAGCTAAAATATTAAGTCACTATGTCCAATATTGTAATTGAAACCGCAAAATGGTTACTGACATTTAGGAAACAAAAACTATTAAGGCCACTAGCTTGAGAAATATAAATAACATTTATTTTCTCTCAGATGGACCAGTCGAAAGTGAGGCAGATTTACCCCAAAAAACAGAATAACATATTTTCTAGTATGTTATTAGAGAATATAATATTTAGAGAATATAAAAATGGCAGGCTGAGTAGGATCATTGAAAAAAAGTATAACGTGCGTGTATATTTGTGCTTGAGAAACAGACCATTTACAAGAAGTGAAAAAACTGCAAACAGAGATGTTAGAAAAGAGGGAAAACAACAAATAACAGCAGAGAGATGTAAACAGTTTATGCGATGGAGAACAGCAATGCCGGAAGGAAGAAAGAATCAATGATATTTATTTAGCATGTTTGATTAATTATGGATACAAACAATCATAGAAATATTGAATTCTAATTTACTTTGATGTTGGACCATAACATGTTTCCTTTCTGTTGGCATCCTGACCTCAAAATATGATCCCAGTTTTGGAGATTTGAGAGTAAAGTATTACTGCTGACCATCCTGTGTGATAAATTTGTGAGTTAATCTTGATAGATGTTGTTGAATGGGGTTCTGTGCGTACAGGATGTTCTGATCGGCTGGCTAGACTTGCCATGTGTCACCGTCGTCTCTTCCATGTCTAGCTTTTGCGCTTGATTTATTAGATTTGTCAGCTCTTTTTTTCTTTTCTCAGACCATATTAATAGTTACAAATGTTCTCATGAGACCTTTATTGCTACTAACTCTTTGCATTGATACTTTTATCTTTTAATATTAGAAAAAAATCAGTCACGGAATGGAGAATTAAATTAGAAGAGGCAGAAAGACTGATGAGTCTTGTCTCCTGCTGCTTAAGAAGCTTTTATATGTCATCTTTATTGTGTAACAGACATAAGAAAAAAAATTAAAAACAAGCTAACCTTTTATTCTTTGTTTTCAAGATCCCAGGTGCCAAACCTATTGGCACCTTTTAAGGTTCCCAAAAAATGAAAAATGTAAGACATTCTTTTATAGATTTATGAATTTTTGACTGTGGTCAGATGACTCGAAGCACTTCATGTCATTATCCAAAAGATAAATATGAGAAAAAGGACCTCATGCCCTCTGTTAGGTACGATGTAGTATCTGTGATGCTGTAGGCTACTTCTCAAATGCCCTAGTAACCTATGACCTTTGAAAATATCAAAACATTTTTTTATATTTTCCAGGAAGCAGAGTGAGTCATCCCGAGGTTTGAATAAATTTTAGCTTTTATTTCTTGTGGTAATTTGCTTTCCACACCACAGATGTATGCAAATAAAGATTTGAAGAGTCCAAAATACATTTAAATAAAAGATAATAAAAATCTGTGTTTTACACCTGATGTGACCAAAGCAAAGTCAGTCTGCGCACACCCACACGGTGGGAAGATAAAGTCGAAATGGACGAAATAATTGGCACTTATGTGGGTGTATAATGTGTATGTAAGGGCTTTGAAACAACAGCGGTCCAAAAAAAAAAATCCTGGAGTCCCATCAAAAATAAATATCAAGTTTCCAAGCAACTGAGCTATTTTATAAGAACAGAACAACACCAACAGTGGCGGTGATACAAGTACAGTTCACCTCTGCAGTCTGGTCTGTAGACAAGGGTTCTGGATTAAATCCAAGTCTGAACTCAATGAGGGGTGAGTCAGCTTTTCCATTTTAGAAATCTCTCAACTGTGAAGGAGCAGGTGGTCTGCTGTGATGGCAAACCTGGTCATAACTGAGGTACGAGTCAACTAATGTATCGCAAGAGCGCCCGTTTACGACTTTACTCATATTTAAACACCAAATTGGAACATTATGTCAAAAACGATTCAGTTGCAAGCCTGTGTTTGAGAAGAAATGAACAGCATCTAGAGCATTGTGTTTAGTGCAACGCTGAATCAAGCGGCGTTTAATGGTGATGAAAGATGGGGATGATTTCATGAAGGCTGCAGCAGTAACTAACAGCCCATCTGTGCTGGATTCACAGGAACTGATGCAGCAGCTTAAAATTGTAACATCCGTTATGACGGCTTAGAGCCTTCGCCCTGCTTCCAGTTCTGCAGGTCCTGAAAATAAACTAGAGTCCAAGAGCTTAGGCAGCAAAATAGGTTCTCAGGCTAGAATATTAACTAGATGAAAATATTTATCAAGAGAATGACATTTTAAATCCTGTCTGTCTATCTACCTATTTATCAATCAATCTTGTTTTTAAAGCCTCTGTAATTTTGTCTACAGTGAATCCATTTTAAATTTTTTTTATTAATATTGTATCTTAAACTGGGAATATTATGATCTTATCAGACCAACTTAAATAAAATGCGCTCCGTGTCAAATGGCCTCGTTGAATCTAGTCTGGAAATTTGCCCTGATGTACGTGAACGCATCAGGAGAAGACGTGTCTTCTACAGAAAGTGGTGTTGATGGACCGTAAAAGCATAAACTCAGACGTAATTAATAAACCCCATCTCAGTGCCGCAGCTCCTTTGTGACACACTTGATCCCATTCTTCTGTTTTTTTTGATGGAGTAGCTCAGACTCACCATGCTTCTCCCTGCTTTGTTTCTCGCCACAGAAATGTCGCGGCGAGTTGTGCGACAGAGCAAGTTCCGTCACGTGTTCGGTCAGGCGGTGAGGAACGACCAGTGTTACGATGACATCCGTGTATCCAGGGTGACATGGGACAGCTCCTTCTGTGCCGTCAACCCCAAGTTTGTTGCCATCATCATAGATGCCAGCGGAGGAGGAGCGTTTCTCATTCTTCCTTTAAATAAGGTATTCAATTTGTGATTTTCACTTTGTCTTTTAGAAGCTTGATGTTCAGTTTCTGTGTTTTTGAAAGAAAACCCTGTTAAATACTGATTAGAACTTGAATTTGGACATGTCACTAAATGTTACATCAACCCTACAGTGATAGGAGTGTTTTCTAAAGCAAGCAGATTTTCCCAAAGACCTCACTTTGGTTTGTGAAACATTAACAATTGATTAAATTATTATTGGGAAATGTTGTCTCCTTCAACTAAAAACAGACCAGGTCAGAAACTTCTACTAGCTAACGAGAATGAGAATGGTGTAGTTTTGGGACTGTTAGAAGGTAAAAAATTATTGACTTGCTTCTGTTTTTTTTTAAGTGCCTTGAGATGACTTGGGTTGTGATTTGTCTCTCTCTATCTATCTATCTATCTATCTATCTATCTATCTATCTATCTATCTATCTATCTATCTATCTATCTATCTATCTATCTATCTGTCTGTCTGTCTGTCTGTCTGTCTGTCTGTCTGTCTGTCTGTCTGTCTGTCTGTCTGTCTGTCTGTCTGTCTGTCTGTCTGTCTGTACACACACACAAATAAACTGAACTGAATTGTATTGATTAGGAATGACAAACCCTTTTCCTCTGTCTCTTAGACTGGCCGTATAGACAAGGCGTACCCAACAGTTTGTGGTCACACAGGCCCAGTGTTGGACATCGATTGGTGTCCACATAATGATCACGTCATTGCAAGCGGCTCGGAGGACTGCACAGTCATGGCAAGGCCATATTTCTATGTTCTAGCACGCATTCAGTGTTTGCTTTAGAGCGAAGTATGAACATGGTTCTGTGATGTTATTTCTGTGGTTCCTAATTTCCCTCCGTTCGATGCAGGTCTGGCAGATCCCTGAGAATGGACTGGATGCTGCGCTGTCAGAGCCTGTGGTCGTGTTGGAGGGCCACTCTAAAAGGGTCGGCATTGTGTCCTGGCATCCCACGGCTCGCAATGTTCTACTCAGTGCCGGTGAGTTTGGATCAAATTCCTCTAATCAAAATTAAATAACATAACAAGAACATAACAATCTATACGAGCAGCTCCTGTTGCGTTGTAGTGTCTGCTGAGAATAAACCTGTTTCTGTTCCAGGCTGTGACAACCAGGTGGTCATCTGGAACGTGGGGACGGGGGAGGCCATGATCAGCCTGGACGACATGCACCCGGATGTCATCTTTAGCGTCAGCTGGAGTCGCAACGGCAGCCTGCTGTGCACCGCCTGCAAGGACAAAAAGGTCCGCATCATCGACCCACGTAAAAAGAAGATAGTGGCGGTAAGTAAAAGGTGCTAGATCAGAGATTAATGTCTCCCCACTAAATACTCATCTGGTGCCACAGTTTTACAACCTGACTGGTGTGATTCTGCCTTTAGGAGAAGGACAAAGCCCATGAGGGAGCTCGACCCATGAGAGCCATCTTTTTAGCAGACGGAAACATTTTCACCACTGGATTCAGCCGCATGAGCGAGCGTCAGCTGGCCCTGTGGAAATCTGTATGTGTTCATCATCTGGTCCTCTTGAATCTAAAATTAACTCTCTACTCGAATCATGAAGCCAAATCTTTACATCCTGACATCATTAATGATTTACAATAGGACTGAGGCGATCCGGTTAATTGTGGTGAATCAGTTATTGAAGTAATTGTCAACAAATTTCGTAAACAATTAATTGTTTATTGAAGCGTATAGACTTAAAAAATGCTAATCGTCCTACAAAGAGGACATTTTGTTTTTAAGATAAAAAACCTTTGTAGATGTTGATTTTCTTATTTAAAGAAGAAATTTTGGTTTTTTACTTGCATGATTTAGTGCATTTCTTATATTGTATAAAAAAGGTTTAAGTAGAAAATCTGCAGAATGTCCAAATTATTTTATCTGATTAATGAATTAATTCTCAAAATAACTAATCTAATTATCGTCAGACTGAAATAGTTTTTAGTAGCCCTAATTTAGAAAGCAACGAGAGAGAATCAAAAATTTAAATAAGTCGTTAAATAACTACTTTTATTGGGCAATGCTATACTAAAGTTAGAAGTGAATACAGCAAATAAATTCTGACATTTATGTTATTATAATGTAGTAGTAATTCATTAAATAAATAATTATATTTCAAAATAATTGTCCCAGGCATTTAGAATGGCATCAGTATTTTTAGGATTAATGAAACTAAAATTATTTTAAAAATTTTGGTCAGATGACTTCTTAATCTACACAGCTGTTTAAATACAGACCAGTCAGATGATTAGTTTCAATATAATACACAATATCTAAATAATCTAAAACATTGAACATTTCCTTTTTTTTTCCCCAATCATGCCAAAGTCTCTGCTGTGCACCTCTTTTCCAGCAGAGGGCGATGAATACCAAGTATACCAAGTGACATTTCCTAATAGAGAGCATGTTCTGTTTGGTTTTTTTCCATTTGTAATTAATATAATCCTAAAGCATACCAATAAAAGTTAAATATATAATTCTGTGTTTGCAGGACAACCTGGATGAGCCTATATGTGTCCAAGAGATGGACTCCAGCAATGGAGTTCTGCTGCCATTCTACGATCCAGACACTAGCATAGTCTACCTGTGTGGAAAGGTAGTTGACACTACATCGGCTTCATTTTTTTTTTTGAATTATTGTCAAATGTTGAATCAAAAGGTTCACACATTCTGTATCTGCAGGGAGACAGCAGCATTCGGTACTTTGAGATCACCGACGAGGCGCCGTTTGTTCATTACCTCAACACCTTTTCAACAAAGGAGCCCCAGAGAGGCATGGGCTACATGCCCAAGAGAGGCCTGGACGTCAACAAATGTGAAATAGCTAGGTATTAAGACATTATATGTTTTATATATATTTATGTTCTTTTAAGAAGTTTGCTCCTTTTTGCTTCTTTAGGTCTAAATGAAGCAAAATTGTGAAAGTATTTTATTTTAAACAATAAAGCAAAATGTAAAAGCAATGAGTCTAAACCTAAATCTGCTCTAGGCTTTAAAAAATTACTAATTTCAGTTCATTGTATTCTGTCAGACAAACATATAAATCCATATTATTAATGTTTGGTTGGGTTGTTACAGATTAATTACATTTTTCCTGTCTTCATGTCAGTATAAACATGGAAAAAATGAAGCAAAATATGGAGGTTTTGCATTTCCTAATTTTCTTTAATACTATCTCTTTGTTTCAACACAAAAAACAAATTTCTTTAAATCATTTATCAAAACAAAATATAAATTAAATGTTATTTTGGTGTTGTATTTTGTCCCATCCACATAAGCCCTGGGGTTGATAGTTTTAAATATATCAACAAACCTCTGATTGTTTTTTTTTTAATTCTCATTAAAGATTTAAGGATGAAATGAAAATCTTTTGTCTTCAATGTGGCTGGAGCAGCAGAAATGCAAACAAAAAAGAAAAATCACAGCATTCAAAGTTGCACAGCTCAGTTTTCATATAGATTTTTATAAACATACATTTTGACATAGATTCCCTTTCAAACCATTACATCCACTGCTCATCATATTGTGTGAAGCCAAACTCTATTAACTGCAATAAATCTCAAGAAGACAAACATTTACAAATTCTCAGTTCACTTTAACAACTTAATTTATTAACTAAGCACAAAAACTGTCTGTCATCAGTCTTCCCTCCAGTTGGTGTGGTTTCTTCCCCAATGATGCAGATTAAACTCACCAGTATGCTCTGTTTATGTGTGCGCTTCCATGCAACACATCGCTGGTTGACCACTTAAAGAAGAAGAGAATAATGAGAAAAACATCTCAAAGTTACATTATGAGTCAGATGAACCAATTCTTTGTGTAGAATTATTTATAAACCAGTTTCACTTTAGTGATTCCTCTCTCCTGGAAATCATGAAGAGACCAAAAATAAACTTTTTTTTAAAAGATCTGAATTCAAGATTCCAGATGTATTAAAATGTCAACATTGCAACATGTTTCTGTTGGCGTTGAAAGGGCAAAAATCTGAAAAAATATGTAATTTTGAAATGGAAATTTGTAGTAATCTTGCTGGAAATCCCCTTAAAGTCATTTAGAAACAGTGTTATTGTCATTTTGTCACACACTGTAAATGTTGCCTTTATGTTATCAATATAAATGATGATAGTGGTTTTATGCCAAATAAACAAAGTTGTTCTATTCATAGAGCTGCAACTGTATTCATATATTTATTCACTATTATAATCTATTGACATACTTATGGCTGATATGCTCAACTTTGTAGTTGTGTCAGACTAAAGGACACGTCTGACATTTGTCTTTAAAAGTATTTCCAATCTGTCCTTCATGTTGTATTTGGAGTTATGGCTTCTTCCTCACTAAATGGCATTCCAGGTCATCTAGGACTCCTTTCATAATTTTCTTATCAGCTTCAGCCAGCATCTTCACAAAGACCAGCATCTTCACAAAGACTTTTGATTTGGTTCACACATTTCATACCAAAGTAGGATCCTCAGAACCAATCTTCTGGTATGAAGGCTGGTTCCTTGCTATTTATACTTCCATAATAATTCTTAAAACAGAGGGAAAAGTCTTTTTCAGCCATGTTTAAATTGTACCCTCGAAAAAAATCTGTCTCACTTCTGATAAAATTTTAGTGCCATTAAAATAACTACTTTGTTTTCTCTTATATTAAACTCTTTTCATTTCTCATCTTTAGGTTTTATAAATTACATGAGAGAAAATGTGAACCAATCATCATGACAGTCCCACGTAAGGTAAGTTTGCTTAAAGCCATCGTGTCTTTTACTGTTCTGTGAGCTGATATGCTCTTCCCTTATTGTTGCCTAATAATTTTCCCTTTGTTCCACGCTTTGCGCCCTCCCAGTCGGATCTGTTCCAGGACGACCTGTACCCGGACACGGCCGGCCCTGATCCCGCCTTGGAGGCAGAGGAATGGTTCGCCGGGAAGAACGGAGGCCCGATCCTGATCTCACTCAAAGACGGCTACGTCTCCACCAAGAACCGGGACCTGAAGGTGGTCAAAACCAACGTCCTGGAGAGCAAGCCGGCCATAAAAGCAGAGAGCATCCCAACCATCCAGAAACATGTTTCTCCACAATCTACTGTTGTAAGTGTTTGCAGAAAATACAATTTTTACTAACATTTATTGAATATTGACTGTTGTTGTGAACAGATGGTGTGGTGTGATTGCAGGATTCTTCCTCGTTCACAGTCATAATTTTGAAAAATCCCATAAAATTATGGATCAGTACAAAATCTTGTTTCTGGCTCTCAATTTAGCACAGCTGCACGGAAAAATAAACCCCATTGCCTGTTGGATCACATTTGACTTATAACAGATGAACAGATGTTATTTTTTTTCTGCTCACGATCCAAATTATTTCTCCCCTGGTTCCAAATGTTCAATATTTATCTTTGTTTTGTTTTTTTCTTTCTCAGAAAATGGAAGACAAACTGGAAGAGGTACTCCGAGAGTTCAAGTCACTCAGGGACCGCGTCATCCTCCAGGACCGCCGGATCGCCCGACTCGAAGATCAGGTCTCCAAGGTTGCCATGTAAGACGCAGAGACCCTTGCCAGGATTGCTGTTTTCTTCTGGAGTCAGCTACGGCCAGTTTTTAAAGATTCGGCTCCACCGAGCTTGGTTTCCGTCCCATTCCGCCGAAACCAAGCCCACATTCCAAGACGAACTTTTACTTTCGCTCATCGGACCTCCCGTTTCACACTCTGCCCTGACCCCCTCACGGAGGAGAGGAAAAACTTTCAAAGCTCATGTTCACATCCGAAGAAAAGACGTTTTTGTTACAGAAAGTCTTAACTGTTTTTATTTTTTAAGATGTGGTGAAGCATTCTCACTTGAAGGTTGTACTTACTGCTCAACAACTGTAGCATCAGTATTTCCATTGTTCTTATTGTGTTGCCAAATATGAATTGTGTGCCGTTTCATGCACTGCTTTTACGTTGTTGTTGTTTTTTTCTCCTCCTGTTGTACATTCCAGTCACAACCTGGTAGAACAGTACAAGTCAAAGCTGGATTATTTTTAAAACAAATGCTGTCGGACTGTTTTCTTCCCCGCAGTTTGCTCGTTGGCATCAGTCAGAATATGAATGTGGAAGAGATCCTAAAACAGTTTTCTCCTGTTCTTCTGGGGGCTTTTAAATTTACCATTGGGGTCCGAACATGGAGGTGGAGGGTGGGTGGGTGTAACATCTTCCTGCTGTAAATGTTGTGAAAATGTTGTGGTGCCTCTTGTCACTGTTAAGGGTCAGACGAACGTTGCCCTCTCCGGTGCGTCTTGGTATTGGGAAGGGACCACTCAGCCCGTGTTTTACTGAACCTCTGACAGACAGTTCTGTGCACATAATAAAAATTTTACACATTAAAGCGCTGCTTCTTTTCCTCTTTATTTAATACCATCTGATCTGTCGACAATTTTACATTTCCTCTATTTCACTTCTGTTATCAGATAAGCATTTGCAATCTGACTGAAAAATCTGACACTAGTGAGTAGTTGAAATTCACTATAAAACTATATAAAAACTGTTTGAACTTCTTTCAGGGTGAGATTTTGTTACACGTCATGTCACTTTAAATCCAAATAAGCTGTCGCTGGCCACGCCAACCTGACTCAAAGTTTACAGTCGCATATGAAAATGGCTGCAAAAATGTGTGGTTATACAATCATACATGTTTGAAAAGCAGAAGTAGAGCCTCCTACACAGCCAACAAGAATGCAGTAAGAAGTTTCTGGATAGCAAGTCAACAACAAAATACTTCCAGCAACCATTGTACAGCACATACAATAGCTGACCAAATGTGCTGGACCTCTGTTTCAAACCCATTGCTAGGTAATAACCGTCTATAAACTGTTTCTCTCATTATTGTGGCATGTAAAAAGGAAGGATTTTCGTAACACTAACGGACCAAGGACAGGAAAAGTTTAGTCAGATTAATGTTGCCCAGTAAGAAAAAAATATATGGTTTCATGTGCACTCGGTTGTACTTTTCTTTTCCTCTGCTAGCAATTAACATTAGAGTGTGAGTCTACTGAAAAAGCCCTTATCCAAAAACCAAAAACTGAGTTAAAGGAGAACTTCTGCTATTTGGATTCAGGTGGGCCAATGCAGGAGGAGGAAGCAAGAAAAAGACAAGTAATAAACCACAGGAAGGCGTTGTCTATTTATTAATAAATAAACGTTTCCGTGACATATGTATCTTTACGTTACTTCTGCTTGGTAAGTCTTAAACCAAAACAGACTGAGTGTGTATATGACTTGAACATTGTGCAAAACCGCATCTCAGTGTGACTCAGTACAGGAAGTGACAGTTACAGTTTCCACATTAGATGGACGAGTCTGGTTCCACTCGGATGTCTAATGTTGAAGGCCAAGCATGAAATTACGCACCAGTCTTTTACAGTTTGGCCACTGTAGTCAGTCATCTGACCACAGCTTATCTCAGCATGAAGACTTCTGACTGACAATAGGGAGTTTCGTTTGATTCCACGGTTTTATTTGGGGAAAAAAAAAACATACATACTAAGAAAACAATGACATCCTCATATGACTGATCTTCAGTCCCTGTGGTTACTTCTCAGTGCCTTGAAATCTCTCATTTAGAGCTTTTATCCCACATGACCTGCAGCTTTAAATGTGAGGCAAAAATGTGATCAAGTGTTGACATGCGACAAGCATCTGAGTGTTTTACAGAACTGAGCACTTCCTGCTATTTTAAACAAACCAGCATTCTAGACATGCTGAGGACGCTCCGCAACAACGAACCTGAGCTCTGCTCTACCTTCCATCTGTCAGGTGAGTCTCATCCTATCTCAATAAATACAAGTTAATATTGATGGTGGGGTCAAATGAAATGGTCATTGTCTCTTTAAAACTGCATTTGCTCTTTTTTTAGTGAATGCGTAAAGATATGGATTTCAAAAGGAAGTGTCTCATCATGTTTAAGTCGTCTAAAAGTGTGATATACCGTCATGGTTTTTTTTTTCTTAATTTCCTGTTTCTGTCATCAAGCAGAGCAACGGTTGCCATATCAGTGCAACGTGGATGTGCGTAAAGAGAGGCTGAAATGAGCTGAGGTGAACATTTTTGTTGGATTTAACATCAAATTCGTCCAATACCAAGGTAAGACATGAGCAGGTGATTCTGGCAACACTTCTTAAGACAGTTCTAAACACCTATTTTACCTGCATGTAATGGAGTGTGTTAGTAAAATGTAATGACATGTTCCTCGAATTTGTCTTTTTTTTTTTACCTCAACTGTATCAGACTGTGTTATCTGAGTCTGAGTGGTTCAAAATATCAACATTTGCTGAAGTTTTTAGTGGTTTTCTGGTGAGAATGAAGCAAAGGGTGTGGTGAAGGAACACGATTGTTTCATTACATGCAAGAAGTTACTGGCATACAAATGACACATACAGTTTTCCCCTTGTCAACATCGCAGAGGGAAGTTTATACACTCATCATATGCGTGGTAATATAAATTTGGGGGATTTTAAGGTTGCATTGGAGCTGTTTTTATTGCAAATTGTATGATCACATATAAATGTTTGCAATTTTCAAAGGATAAACACTTTCTGATTGTTTAGCCACTCGGAATTTGTAAACTTAATTTATGTTGGTTCATCTCTTTTTTTATTTAATACTGTTGAGGTCTATGTAAATGCAGAAGCTCTATTTGAACTAGTTTTTCTTGTTAGAATGCCCAATTATGTCCAGGTTTCAACCATCTGACCCATATACGAGATTCAGATAACAGGTAATCGGTGGAAATCATCAGGGCTAGTTATGCAGTGAATGAGTCTCAAAGCTATTATGGAGGATGCTGCAGCGTCACTGTCCACAGCAAAATGTGCTGAGTGAACACAGACCAAGAAATAAGTCCATGCTTCAAAGTCAAAACCGGAGGGAAATTTTCACCTACAATGAAGACAAGAAAAATGCATCCTGGTGAAAAGAACCAAACATTGAGCTTTCTAGTCATATTACAAGAGGAATGTTTGGACAAGTCAGGAAGAGAGTTTAAAAGTTGAAAACTGTACCAGCTGTCAAACACGGTAGTGGCAGCTTCATACTGAGGGTCTATTTTGCTTTATGGGTAAACTTAATATAGGCAATGTTTCCAAAATCATTTTTTTCTGTGATTTCAGATCTCATATTTAACAACCATGCCCTCCAGCATGAAGATACGTGCTGTGCTGCTGTTGGGATTGTGTGTGTTGTTTCCTGTGGAGCCGGTGACGAGTTCAGCAGCAGAAAACAGCGGCACGAACATCACTGTTCCACCAGACATCACAACCACCCAGCGAAATACTGCATATACTTTGCCGCCTACGACCCTGTATCCAGCAAAAGCTACAGATGCTGCTGCTCGTGCGACGGAGGCAGCGTTACCCACAACGGACTCTCAGAACGTTGACAGAAACACAAGTAAAAACGAGAGCAGACGGCTTGATTTGACTATTGCTGAAGTAGCAGTCAACCATTCCAAACCTCTCACCCCCACAGAAAAGGCGACGACTGAGGACGTAGATTCTGCAAAGGTGACAACTGCAACTGCACAAACCTTCCCTGCAGAGCAGACGACGAGCACAAGCAAACCTCTGTCTGTCAATCAAACAATCACAGCTGGAAGAGAAGACGAAACTTCTGCTGCAGGGACCACAGCACGTGGTGCAGTGAGATCTTCCACTGCCATCTTCACTGCTACAAGTAAAGAACAAATTTCCCCGTCAAAGACCACAGGCCATGCACACACCGTTACAGAAGTCACATCGACTGGAAGTGGACTCCATCCGTCCACTGCCGTGACGTCAGCGACGAGGGAAGAGCAACCGCTGCACCCTTCAACAACAGCAGAAGCAGTGAATCAAACAACAGATCATCTCCACACGTCTGCCTCCAGTTTTACTAACGCGACTCCTCCTGCAACACGTTCCGCAACTACTTCAGCCTCATTTGTTTCTACTCAAAATTCAACATCCATTACTGGATTCAGGTCAGAGGTGCCTTCCACCGCCTCTTTGGATAACTCTACTCAAAGCACTTCCAACTCCAGCGCTCCCACGACTTCAGTTCCTGCGTCAGAAACCTTTAAGCCCACCAGCACCGAGCTCTCATCGAAATCCTCTTCTGTTTCCTCCACCACAAACTTCAACTCCACATCACCTGAACCAGTTTCCACTTCAACTGATTATTCCAACACCACCGCCAACTCTACCAGCCCCGCTGGAGCTCTTATTCCTCACATCATTGGGTCAACAACACGCTCCACTCCATCAACTACCAAAGCTCCCTGCGAACCGTCGAAGGACTCGTCCAGCAGCGAGGTTCTGCCCTGCTCCAGCAGGGGCGTGGTGAAGCAGTGCCTCATAATTATCGCCGTCTTGGCCCTGGTGGCCACCATCTTCGTAATTTCCACCATTGTCCTTTGCATCAAGCTGTCAGCAAGAAAATACAAAGTTAGGAGACCTCAGCAGGACACGGAGATGATGTGCATCTCCTCTCTGCTGCCTGATAGGAGTCACACCTACACAAGGCAGCGCAATCCAGTGAGCAACGGAGTCCTGGTTTTCCCTGCGGGAGGAGACAGCGACGAGGAAGGTGGGGATAATCTCACTCTCAGCAGCTTCCTGCCGGAAAATGACCGCTATGTTTAGCTGGTTTGGTGTCGCCCTGTGAGATGGAATGGATCTGCTTTGGATCAGCGATGCAGAAATTGAGTCAGTTTATGTGGTAGACACAAAAACCACAAACACTCACCCCTTAATGCTCAAAGCTGGATCCCCCTCATCTGACATTTGATCTGAAGGATGTTGACTTTGAGCAAAACTTGTCATTTTTGCATAACTTTACACATGTTCTCCTCCCTCATGGGAGAATTGAAACCAGGATGCAGAGAACGATCAAAGCTGCTCTCTTTTTTTTTTCTTTTTTTTTTTTCTTTCAAACATCCGGACCAAAAACTCTTGTGGATTTCACTTTGCAACAAGAAACAGGAAGCCTTTGCTTAGTCAAGAAAGATCTCTTCTTCACCGAGACTGCTCAGTTTTTTGGGAAACTGAAGACTTAACAGTTTAAAATCGAACTTTATAGAAGAGATTTTATCATTTATCTGTGTGTAGGAGCACACTTTTTGAACTGCAATAATTGTTTTTATTAAATGTTATATGCACGGCATATAAAAAGTCGACACACCTACTGACATGACAGGGTTTTTTGTAACCAATGTCACTTCCAGTTATTTCAGAACCATGCTTGATTGAAAAATCTGAAATATTTTAAAGCGCTTTGAGAGGCGGTTTTAAAAACTAAAGTAATGTGGCTGCATGTTATCTGATCTGATTCAGGTCTGAGCACTGACTGGACCCATTCAAAACTTTATTCTTCTTCCAGTTACAGTACAATGATCATTTTCATAAAAAAACAGCTTTTTTGTGCACCACTCTTAGTTTTAACAGATTCCCCCTCCTGAGTGCTGCATCTCTTTCCTGACTGGTCAGTTTTGCAGGTTTTGGGATTTGTTAGGAGTTCCTAACTCCTATTTATTGCTGATAACAAAATACATTTCTACAATTCATGCCTTATAACACAAAAGGCACATGGTAACAAGTAGATATTTTGTGGCATCATGTGTTGTTCATTAAACCAGGGACAAATATCTGAAATGGCTATAGTTAATGCTAACAACAGAGTGTATTGAAGCCACATTATCTGATTTATTATTCATCCCCATTTGAAAAATATGTTTGTTATTTTAGCTAATTTGCACAGAGAAAATATTCAATGAAAAGTTGTGAAATTATTCATCTTGGTGCAAGTTTTATGTGTCATATTTTAATCTGGGTGTGTAGACTTTTTATATCCACTATATAATACTCTGCTCAAAGTGGCTTTTTCCTTGTCGGGTTGCAGGATTTCCTATTTATTTTTTTGGCAGCTTTGAGAAAAACGTTTGCATGCGTTTTTTGGAAGAAAGCATAAAAAGGTCTAGAGAGTGCAGGCATGGTTGACAGTGAAGGGGCCCAAGCTAAGTTTTAGTTGTTCATTTCTTGGAAATTGTAGACTTAAAAATATGCATATATTTGTTTTTGTTATTTCTGCAAAACGTTTTAAGTTTTGTTGTCTCCATGTTGTTTTGTAATGATACCCTTATAAAAAGCCCAGTCCACTCAGACTGGTAAATAATGATACTGTTTTTGTACAGGTGCTTTCCTCAAAGATTAATCTGTAATTGATGAGTAACGTGAGGATAGAGAGTCGTACTACTGAAGTCAACTGCAGGAAATTGAGGATGAATCAAAGTCATTTTGACCTTTTCATGCACAAAATCAAAAATCACAATTTTGTGTCATGAACTCAGACTTAATATTTGTTTTCTTGTCTAATGTTAAACACAATCTGTTTATTGTTTAAAACTGGAAAAATCAGAAATCTCTTCAGGAAAGGAAATGATAATTGGTCAAATTCATAGAACTTTAGCTCCCTTTTCTCTGCAGCTGAGCTGAGTAAGTAGATTAATAATGTCTGTAGAAAACAGCGTCTTCCATCATTAAATGTGTTTTTGTGTCCTTCTTTTGTAACTTCTCTTTACGGCTCTCTAAATGGCAGTCATAATAAAACTGGATCTTCTCTAAAGTCATTCAGTTCCCTTATTCACGAAAGATTTAACAGACAACCTTTTGCTTCCTACACTGGATTTTAATTTCACATTCACTTCCCTTCTTGTGAAACGACAGCAGTTCTCTCAATGCTCATTCGCCTCACAATGTCCCTTTTTCCCCCCTTTGTGTCCCATCAAATATGTGAAGCAGGCAGCAGTAACTATCAACAAAGCCGAGACCAACGTAAACCTTTCCGACGCCGGACGTCATCTCATGCTCCTCTTGACCATATAAAGCCGGGACTGTCTTCGGTCGCAGACAAAACAGAGTAGTAAAGAGAAATGCGCCGTCTCAGGCGCAGTCACACTCCCATCCTAAACTGGTCACACACTCGGCGTGTGCATCGAATCGTTTGCTTGTGGATGACAAACGCTTCGTTGTTTGCAATAGTCTCTCCTCCTCGCCTTTTCTCTGGTTGTTGAAGTTGTTTTGTCTCCACAGGAAACATTAACCTCTTCCTGCATTAAGGAGGTCAATCCACAAGCTGCTCTCTGACTATTTTATTTAACCCCAGGTTAACGGTGATGTTCGTCCTGCTGCTCATTAGCATCACTTGAACATGTCAGGCTGTCACATCAGGCCCTCTCGCTGCATAAAGCGTTGCAGCTTTTTACTCACTTATTTACAGGGTCCTGGAAAAGTATTCATTTCTCTTCAACCTTTTTTTCCATTTTGTCACATTGCAGCCGAAAGACTTGATGTGTTTTTGTGACATTTTGTGTGGTAGACCAACGTGAAACCGTACAAAATGGTGAGCATATTTTTCAGGGCAAATCTACAGACTAAAATGATCAACCTGTCTTTGGTCAGACTGAATAAAGCATCAGTGAAAATCAGTTTGCTTCCAATTCTTAATTGGATCTGCTCCTGGACTTTGACTGGGCCCTTTTAACCCATGAATGTGCCTTAATGTAAACCATTTTATGAGAGCTTGGGCTGCATGTTCAGAGTCAACCTGTGACAAAGTATTTTGCAGCTTTTCTTTCTGTATTTAGCTCCATCCTTATTGAGCAGATGTTCAGTCCCTTCATGAAGGAAAGCTTCTTCACAGCACGATGCATTTTATTTCCAGGGTGAAGTTGGTCACACTGGATTTTATTTTGTAGCATCAGAAAAAATGGGCTACAGAACAAATGCTTTTTGCACTTTTTGGATGTCTCCATGTAACGAAAAGCACATACTTTATTCATTTCATCCACTCTGCTTCACAATTGATTCTGTGTTGATCGACAGCATAAAACCCCAATAAAATACACAGGATTCCTTTGGGTTTTAATGAGACAAAATGGGGGAAAAGGGTATAGAGGTTTAAATACCTTCCATGTCCAGTCAGCCACACAAAGAGCAGAGAGGAGGTCCCTGCCCCCACAGCACTTTATAAACTCATACCTAACAAGAACAATCTGTGCGCAGGCCTGGAGAACCCAGACACTGTCGGGGAAACTGGAGGAGGGGGAGGAGAGCAGAGCAGAGCCAGAAGGAGGGATCTGTACTCATAGTTAATGACATCTCTCCTGTGCTATCCAGACAAACCTCCGCACTGAAACCTGAAACTTGCAGAAGTTGCACGGTTCCCCAATCAGTCACATGCACTCTACTCTCCCTCTAACTTTGCTTCTTGCAAACTGGTTTCAGTCACCCTTCCACCAGAGGGGATTTCAAGCTGAGAAACTTCTTCCACACTGAATGGTGAGTGAAATGGAAACACACTAGAAAGTTTTCTTCTTCGTTTGGAAAGAGCAGAGAGCATCATGCAGCTCCTGTGCATGATGCTGTCTGCAGTCAGGAGACATGGCAGCATCAGGATGCTTCCAGACTCCAGCATTTATTTAAACTTCTGGATTCATTAAGAGCTGATAGTTACCTACAAAAGCAGGTGATGGTAAACTTTAATATTCCTTAAACGTTTCGTGTAACTTCTTTTCCTTTGTTTCCATTTGGTCACCTTTTGCTGGCATGATTTTTGTGTCTGGCTGCACAGACATATTTGGGTATTTGGCTCGGGGTGATCCATGAAGTGGAGGGGAAAAGGTTTATTTTCCAGTCGGAAGCTGGGCTTCATGTGGGACAGCTTGCACACAGATGCAACTGAGAGGGGATTTAGAAAAAAAAAAAGAAGAAAAAAAAAGTGAGCCTCTGCCAGTTAACACACAGACAGAGCAGAGAACAGAGAAAAAGGCCAAGTCAATAAATACAGCTGGCTTCACAGGGTCAGTTCACAAAATATGCAATAGAGAAAACAACCAACCATTTACAATTAGGCCAAGTAGATTTATTATATGTTATCCTGTTGTCACCTTCCAGTGATAGAAAAGCAAAAAATAATTACAGTCTTACTTTCAAGCAAAATGACATTTCATAACTATAATTTTCATAATGCCTTCATTTGCCGTCATAAGATATATGTTAGATTAAAATAAAAATCATTAGGGAGGTGAATTTATACATAATAACCAATAACCTGCTAAAAACCTGAAAAGATTAAGACCTTTCATGACAACTTGCGATTGCTTTGGTGAATTGGACACAAAAATTAAGCCAGGAATACAAACATATATGCAATCAATAGATGTAAATTAGGAGAAAATGTGGTAATTCAGCAATTAATTTAAGTGAAATAACTTTAAACCACGTAATATGAGTAACTTTAATGTTTGTCTTATTTTTGAGATTTGCTTGTTGTTATTGAAGTGTCCTAATTTCTTCAGTGATGGGCTATAAAGATAATTATGCTCTGTTATTTTCATTGTCCAGACCAGTCAGTTAAAGCAGATTTGACATGTTATGAAAAACACAATATATGGAGCAGATGAGCAGGAGAGACAGAAAATTGTTAATTAATGACTTTCCAAAACCAAAACAGTAAATTAATTAAATATCTACTAAAGGATGCTTTGTGTGTTATGTTTATGTTCCCTTCACTGATGCCAACATGTGTTCAACATCAGGCTTGGTGGGAATGAAACTTGAGACTGAAGCCAGTTCAGGGTCAAACGAGAGGTCACTAAACTGAGTGACCTAAGTCTTCTCCTGTTACGTAGAGTCAAGTTAATGCAATAAAACAAAGGTGAAAAAATGTTGACATTAACTTATATTGCAAATATTTTCAAAAAGTTTGAAGAGTAAATGTGTGCCACACAAGGAGCTGTGTTTCAAGCTCGTCGGTTGATACTGACTTACAAAAAGGCGTTTTCTGAGTCATGACCGTCCTTTTTGCAAATCCATAAATGATGTTTTATCCAGAAAGGATTTCAACTCAGTATGAGATTCTCATGGTATAACAATGAGTGAAAAACAGAGTTTTATTAGGAAAATAAAAAAATTAAAGCAAACCCCTATATCTTTTATGTAAAACAGAAAAACAACAGGAATTTCTTTTATTACTAGAGTAATTGAACTGTCTGATTATAGAGTGTAAAATACAGGATAGATACTTAATTGTAATATTTAACATTAGCACATTAGTAGTAGTGGTTAGGTGTGTAATATAGTGACTTTTTATGCCTTTTTGCTATTCTGCTCTTGAAAAACATTCCCACCCAACAGCACACAGTAAATGAATTTAATTATATTTTGCAATCTATTGATTCTCTCAACAGTGGAGAATATTTAAAAATTAACATTCCGGACATTACAGACAGCCTTATCTTGTTAAAAAAAAAATAATAATAATAATAATTAAAGTCTCGCTATAACTGCACCCATTGTTTACTGAAAACAATAAAATAAAATTTTGACTCAGTCTTGTTGTGCAGTTGCTTAAAAGCATGCAATTCTGTCATTCGCATGATAATAAATCTCCATTTTGCAACAAGGGATTTATACCTCCATGTAGCATTAACCGTCTTCCCATATGGACCTTCCCAGATCCGGAGAGGAAGCCATGCATCCAGGAGCCCTGCGTCCCATCAGCCTGTGTGTGGTGTTTTGCATCAGCAGAAGCCTGGCCACACATTTACCTCTTTACGGTCCCCTGGAGGGAAGCACAGATGAGGAAGAGCTTAGTCTCATAAATTCATCTGTCGCTCCCAGAGTTCACCCCACTGAGTACCAAACCACACCACCAGAACCGTCACGAGAAGAAAGAAGCCTCAGCGAGTTCACCAAGTTCCTGGAGGACAACATGCTCCTCATCCTTGTTTCAAGCACGCTCATCTTTCTCACCCTCCTCATTACCTGTGGAGCGTTTTTCATGAGCCGCAGGCTCAAGGTCAACTCCTACCACCCTTGCTCCTTCCCCTCGAAAATGTACGTGGACCATCAGGACAAGACCGGAGGCACCAAGCCCTTTAACGAAGTGCAAGGCAAAGCCGTTCCCGAGCTGGAACTGGAGCCAGTGGACTCCAACAAGCAGCTCCAGGCTGAAATCTTAAGAGCTGCAAGCAGCCTACGAACGCCAACTAAATGTCCTCAGGCAGCGGAAAGCAGTGAGGCAGCAGCAGACCCCAGTCCTGAGGACGACTTGAAACCAGACCGCAGCATCCTGGAGCAGCAGCTACCGACTCTGGCTGAGGAGGAGCAGGTTGAGCTCCATGACAGCAGGGAAGCTGAGGCAGCAAGTGTTGAGTCGGGTCACCCAGAGCATCTTCACCCGGGAGACGGGGATTCAGAGGAGCCTCCGACCGGAAGGAGTCTCCGGCCCTCGTCTCTGCACATTCACAATGAAACTGCTACACTGCAGCTCATCGCTGGGGAGAAAACGGCCTTCTAATCAGCTTCAATGAGACAAGCTAAGAACTTATTCACAGGAATCCTCCAGCAACATTTCATTCTCATCAAAGTTGTGTCATTTTGTAAAGAAATAGGTCTTGTAAACTCGAGTAGTAAGACGATTTGTCAAAGTACTAAAACTATGACTATATATTGAAGGATCTAAGGGCCTTGTAATTGCATTCATGTACTTGAACTTGTATTTTTTTTGTGTTTCAACCACAAACTTCAGCCTACTTCATTGAAACTGAACTTATACAATAA